GAGTACATTATCTCAATCACAAGAAAGAAGGAAAAACATGAAATTTGATGTACAAAAGGCATGGAGAGTTGTCCACAGATGATGTCATCAAATTGAATACCGCCCTCTAGTGACTAGTCATTTCAAAAAGCTCTTACTTCCTTATTTCTTGCCCGATTTTGTTCAAATTTTCACTGATATTTTTCAAATATCTTAAACTTTACAATAAAAGTAACTTAGTATGAAGGTTTTGGTTTCCTTTAACTTTAATAGGCCTATGCATCAGGGCTGCCCTCTCTTGTCAAACCAGAAACCTTCATGACATGAAAGCAGAGCTACCAAGTGTCACGCATTAGGCGTGACATCACGCATTAGGCGTGACATCACGCATTAGGCGTGACATCACGCATTAGGCGTGACATCACGCATTTCGAGGGTCTGAAAACGCTCTCACGCATTTCATTTCATGTACATGTAGGCCCACCTAATGTACATAAGAATCTTAACAACCTCATATTTCTAATGAATTAAAAAACTCTTCCATGTCCATGTAGCTATAACAAATTTGAACTCCCTTCCCCTGAAAAAATCAAGAAAACATGCAAATAAATGAGATCATCATTACTTGTGTATGAAATTGAAAACCAGTACTTGTAAAGCTCTGCTCTACTTGACATTGTAGTAGGTACTGTACTCCATCAGAATGAAACGTCTTGTTCTGCTTCAGAACCTCATGTATGTGCTTGTATTCATTACAAGTATTCATTACACACCTACATCTACAATGTTGGCAAATATGTAACATACAATATCTTACAGAAATTATAGGCCTACATCTTCTTGTGTCAGGGCTGTGGAATGTCTACTGAGTTTGACGAGTAATGCAGTATTACCAAAGAGATACTACACCATTCAACAGGCTCAGTACACAAGTATGTGGCTCATGTTCATGTAGTACATCTTAGATCGACAGCCCACGAGACTGACGATGTTGTTCTTGTCGGTCGTACAAGTTCTCTGTTGACATACATGTAGATGTCCCCACATGTTGGCCATACACTAGTTTGTGGACTCATGAAATACATGGGTATTAAAGAGGCGGGATAGGACGATGCGGAGGTACAGGAATTCACAGAAGAAGAACAAAAAGTAGAATGTAGTAAAGAACACTTCAAAGTATAACAGGAAACAAAAGGAGGGGGAGAAAAAGGGAGATGAAATGAATCACTTGTTTAGCTGTTGATATATGTTGCCATGGTATTGATGACAAAGTTACCATCAGAGGTATTAGTTTTTTTGCAAAGGGCCCCTGATACAGTACAACCTGAGAGCATTGGAAAAGGGGTGGGGGGGGGGGGGAGTATGGAAAATCTTACTTGAAATTGAGTTGACATGACATGATCAAATTGAATTAGAGGTAAAATATGCGTAAAGCCCCTAGAGACAGTATTTCATATTAAGTGCTATAAATCCATTAATCCAGATTGATTTATCATTAGTAGTATTGATGTGTGTATTAGAATGAGTTGCATGTGAACTTGTGTCTGTCCCAAAGGGAGCCTTGGGGTTTGGTATATGATATGGGCTAGGTTACAAGGTTGGTGGCTATCACTAAACCATCTGGTATCTGCAACAAAATTTGACATTTTCAACATCTGTTTAATTGATTGGTATTCCATGCGGTCTCTAATGTATAGTGATCGAGGCACAATACAGACAGTACAAATCTAGACAACAAGACTCAAAGTGCTATGTGTGGGCTACATGATTTAGCAGTTTTGTATTAGCTTGTACATGTACATGTACATGTAGGTCTATGTATCTTCACAAATCTTCTGTTAGAAATCTGAATTTACACTACCGGTATCTCTTTGCAATTTTGGAAAAGAGTTTGGTGAAAAGTATCTGAAATCAGTAATTTGAAAATGATTTGAATAATGTGTAGGCATCCTGTTAAGTACTACAGACACTAGCAAAATGTTCATGAATTTTCAGCCGATAATTTTGTTTTATTTCCATTGCTGTCGCTCAGTTATGATATAAAATGCAGAGATATAGATGAAGGCATTCATGTACATGACGCTGATGCTGTGTGACATTTTAAGTGATGTAGAACAAATGACTTGCACCCATTTTGCTATTCAAAGTAATCATCATATTTTCAAAAGACATACTGTAAAAAGCTTTCATATTTGCCTATGAGCGAGCAACAATGCATTCACATACACTGATACAGTATACATTTTATGTCTTCATGTCAACATGTCAACGTGTCCCATGATCCAAGCTCTAAAAAATGAGGGTACACCTGAGGCATCGTATATCATTCTCTCCTCACATCTTGAACTTCAGCACCAGGGGATAGGACGTCATTAAAGACAGCAGAGGCGGTGCTCTAGGGTAGGGAGGGGGGGGGGGCACTTTTGACCTACATGTAGCCCCCTTATTCTGATGTTCTGATGGCTCACTCCATGGCTGCAGAATCGTAACAAATATGGTATCATTCTAATGAGGAATAAACACACTTTCTAATGATACAGGTGTTATTGTCAAAGTGATAATTATGCCATGATAAGAGAGCTATAATCAATCCGAGTGAAGTTTTCAAACTGTTTCCAAGGGGTGGACATGTGTGTTTATGAGCTAGACTCCCATTACCTGTAGGCCTACATGTACTGTACATGTAAACCCTCCTCTGTACATGTATCTTTAACAAAGCGAAAGGGATGACTTTATGATCCATCCGCAGACCTCTATTTCAGCCCTTCTCTACATGTATATTTTATTCTACAAAAAATAAACAATTTAATTACTTGTGGAATTAAAAATTTGATAACCATACAAAATTTCCTGTTTAAAAGAATACCGGTACATGTATGTGATATTAAAAAACTTCCTGTAAAATGTTGGTTTATTAATAACGTCGAACATGATGGGAGAAAGCGAATATTTTTTAATTTTTTGGGGTATAAACAAAAGTGAAAGTGCAACTTTTAAGTTTAAACAAATGTCCAACAAACACATACAGTGTACAGTAAATATACTTACTGACTGTGTAAATACAACATCATGTATTTTTTTAGTTTCTTGGCAAGTAATGTACTTCAAAGACTTATGCATGGGGGAAACCAGTTTTATTGTGGTGAAATACTTGTGCATAAATGATGAGAAAAGTAAGTGAAAGCAAATATTGTGTGGGTAACAAGAGCCATATAGTTTCCTGCCTTTCTAGAGTATGATCTTAAATCGAAAGTCCTGTTTCTTTAGTGAGTGTAAAAGTGAATGTAAATATTGAAAGAAAATTAAGCAATGTCCTCAGGAAGTTTACTTAAACCTGTACATGCATGTGTAGGCCTATACAAAAAAAAAAGAGAAAATGGGGGCGTAATATTGTAAAGCAATTATATGGGGGTCTAAAGATAACAAGTATAGAGTTAAAGATAAACTCCAGTACTATTGATAGACTAAATCAAGAATAAATATTTAAATGAGTTTTTTTTTCCCCTCTAATTTTAGATCTACTTTAAAGATAAACTTGAGTTCTGGTAAACAAAAAAAAATAATTCTCACAGAATCAAACGAAACTTACACTGAATGTTCAAGATTACAAATAAATGACATGTGCCAAACAATTTTGGAAGAAAATGTATACTGGCTGAGTAATGAGCATAGACACCATGTGTGTTGTCCCATATATAGCTTTCTATGTGAGTGCTTGTTACTTTACCAAAACTCGGTCAAATTTATTATGATTTTGATGACTCCGTAACCTTGCAGTGCACACCAATACTTACATGCTACATGATCAACTGTTTCTGATCCTTTCCACACCTTTTCTTTCACAATGCAATCGCATTACCAGTACTAAAGTTTATCTTTAAGTATAAAGTCCACAGTTTTATTTCCACATGTTCATTTGAAAAAATACATAAAGTACATACAATAGAACATTTAAAACAAAATACATTCTGATTTTACAGTCATTAGATATCAAGGGGAACATGAAGATCGTGAAATTGTAGGAAGGAATCATAAGCTCTCAAAGACGAAGGGGTTACAATTCCCTAGTTTGCAGGCACAAACCCTTGTCTGTCGTTGTACATAACAGTGTCTGCAACATGAGACTACAGTACTGTAGGTTCTGTACTTAAGCTGGTCTTGTTTGACACAGCCAGAAACTACCAGATCTAGGCTCTGCTCAAGGCTTTACAAATTGTGGTAAAGTGTCAGATTAGAGTCTGGGCTTGCAGACTAACAATTCCCCAGTCCCCCCTAAATCTAGTATTATTATAGGCTTTCTATTTCATTACATGAACAATTGCTACAATGGTTTTGTTTTTATTATGGTTTTTTCTTCATGAATGTACACTACTTTGCTTTTGGTGACTGATAATTCCTATTGTGTTCCCTGTACATCTAGCCATATTATAGTATTTATTAAAAAAAAAAAAATGTACCTTTATTGATTGTTACAATGGTTTTTGTTGAATAACAGTATGTATATTTTCATTTACATGTACTCCTTTGCTTTTGGTGACTGATAATCCCTCCAGTCTCCCCTACAATACATCTAGCAATATTATAATAGTATTTCTATTTCATTACCTGTATTTATTGGTATATGGTTTTTGTTCAATTCTGACATGTATATTCTTTATTCACTTCTTTGCCTTTTGGTTACAAACTTTTGCTCAAACTTTCCATATTTACATTTATCAGTACAATGATTCCTCATTTGATCACTAGATTTCTTTATAAAGAACTTTTTCTTTTTCCTACATGTAATCCTGCTTGTACATGTATTTACAGTTTCGCAAAAATTATATAACAATGGTATTATTATGCAATTATATTTTTTAGAACAATTTCCCATTTGGCTTTCTCTTAATTTTCTTGAATTTCTTTTCTATTCAAAAATTATTTGGTTCTTGAGCTTTTCTGTATTTTTAAACCATTTTTAAGTTTGCATTATTTTATTCTCTTTCTTTTCATCGCATTCCATCGGGTTCTCTCTCCATCAGTATCTCTTCAAGACATTCATATGCGCAAGGCCTTCAAAAGTTCGTTGGCCCTGGAGACGGAGGTCGTCTCCTCCCCCACCATGCCTTCGGCCATGAGGGAGACATACATGAGATGCGAGAAGCCGCCAAAGTTGTCGCTGCTCAACCAATTCAGGTAGAGGGAGCTATTATCATTATCATTGGGGCTATAGCCATTTAATTTTGTTTTCAAAGTCCCTTTATAGAAGTTTAAGACTATTTTAACCTATGACCTGGACGCTGTTTTGTTTCCAAAATTTCTCAACATGTTTGTAGAGTGATATTTGATACATGTGCAATGAGCACCTTTGTGTTCTACATAATTATAAAGAATTGAGCACCATTTTGTTTTAAAAAATGGATGTCAATGTTGTAACTAATTCTATAAAGGGACCCTTATTGGTGCTACTACAAATGCTTGGAGGACAAAAGCTTGCAGCTGGGGTTAAGGTTAAATAAGTTTAGGGTGAAAGGTAAGGTTACATGGTGGGTAGGTATTTGATTTTGGTCAAAGGTTGAAGGTCAACGTCGTAGTAAGAATTGGTGAGTATAGGGAATGCGCATGCAAGTCGTTTCCTGAATACTGATTATCTACTGTCGACTCTTTAATATCTTTACCTTAATTAAGCATGGGCCACTTTTTTAACAGATACAGTGTATGCTCACATGTACACAGGAACTTTTGGCCCTACGTTTATGAATTGTACAAGTAGTGAAATTAATTGAGGGGCTTTGGGTCAAATAGCACCTAAATGCACTGAAAAATGCTCACAAATGATTTGTCATTAATTCTTTTGTCCTGCAAAAACAATGCTTATTAAATACAATTCCTTAGAAGCAATTCGTCTCATATGAAATTTCTACTCCGATATATTCTTCTAGATGGGAATAGTGAGAACTAGAATGCTCACAAATTATGTTTCACCTTTACAACAATCAGTAACAAATGCTCAATTGCCACTGTAAATTTGCTCTCAGCCAATCAAATGGCACAATATCAGTAGCTTATAACAGCTATCAGAACTTGTTACTGATAATAAGTTTTTATGGAACAGGGTCCTGTAGTTCATCTTCTCTTTAATCCAAGTAAGTCAGAAAATCACTGTCTCTACTCTCTAGGCTGGTTTACCTGTAGGTAAAGTTACATGGCATTGTACAAAGAAGGTAGAATGGTGCCCAATAATTACCCCTATTCTCATGGCTCCATTTGGCCAAGTGGTCGGTAAACAGCTTCAAAAGAAACACACGGCTGGTCAAGTGAACCGTAAATATGAAGAAGGAGGGGAACGGTATTGATTAAATGCAGGTTCGCTACTACAGGTACCAGTCTACATACAGTATGCTCTGCAGTTTAAAGGGCAGGTTGGGTTCTGGTGAAGACGAAAAAATAACTTATGAGCTTTCTAACTCCTTTAGCTTTGATAGTTGTTTGTTTCAGTTTATTTCTCTGAATTTTGCTTGAAGCATTTATCAATTTCATATTGATTCCTGTCATTGTAACATACATTTTCCTTTCATCATTCCTCTCTGATTTGCATGTTACATCATGCCTCACAAAGGGTTCCAAGCAATTTTTCGGTACAGGGTACTCCAAATAAATTGATCTAAAAATGCATGTGCTTAAATCCCACCCCTGCCACCAATAACAAACCAGTTTACAATTAGATGGGGAAGCTGTACCATTCTAGAGTTCACAGCATCCTGATACTACATGTATGTTGCTTGGTGGTCTGAGAATTGCTTTAGCAACCATTGCCTCGGCCTTCATTTTGTAAAACATGCAGATATACATGTAGGGTTAGGATTATTGGTGAAGTTGGGTTTTAGGTTGGTTTAAAAGTTAGCTATAGTGTTACATGTACAGTGTACATCATGGACTCATCTCCAAGCTCAATTTTTCAAAGGTGCATGATTTTTTAAGAATCACAATCATAATATTGATTTTATATCTTCATTGAAATCACTCTGGATCTATTTCTGATTATTTGCATGGTTAAGTTTACACCTCACAAGAAATGTTATGGCATCCAAACGTATTGATCTATAGAGTGGTGAAGTGTGACATCATCAAAAATCTATTTTGGGAATTTCTCAAATTTTTTCTTCATTTTCCAAGAGAGCATCAAAAATAATGTCCAAATGTTGAAAACCAATTGAATACCGTATGTTAAGTATGGGCTGCGAAATGACCATTTGAATAAATAGGTTTCCTATAGGAACTCAGTGTTATACTGCTGTGTTTCATAACATTACGAGCCAGAGCAAAATAATTAAGAAATTCACTAAAAAGATTTTCATGATGTCACAGCTTCGGTACTCTATTAAAAAGAGCATGCTTTGTAACACCACCGCTGCCATCCACAATAAATGGAACAGTTTACATGGATGAGGACGCAGCACCATTCCAGTGCTCTCAGCAGCCAGACACTATGCTGCTTACACCGGAGACTCGCCTGCAAGCGGTGGCTTGTGATTTTTTTTCATCTCAATCATAAGATTGATTTTATATATCCATAGAAATCACTCTGAATCTCTTTCTGATCATTTGCATGGTTAGTTTACACCTCGCAATTTTTTATGGCATCCAAATAAATTGATCCAAAAGAGCATGCTTTATTATCCCACCGCTGCCACTGATAAATGGAACAGTTTACATGGATGAGGACGCAGCACCCTTCCAGTGCTCTCAGCAGCCAGACACTATGCTCCTTACACCGGAGACTCGCCCTCAAGCTGTGGCTAACCTCTATGACCATGCCAATCCCATCCCTGCTCTTAATATGCTAAATGTGTTCAGGTAAACCTGGCCTTTAGTTGGGCGAAAAATGGTGGATGGGTTACTTTTGAAAGAAACTTGCATAAATGAATATCAATTAGCTTCTTCTTTTGTTTTGCCTGCACAGCAATAACTTTGTATAGCCAGTTAGAATCATTAAATTTGTGCCCTATCTCTTGAAGGCGCATGTCATTTTGAAAATGGGTCAAATCTGACCAAGTTGAGTACAAAGGTCAAAAGGTCAAAGAACTTTCAGCGAAAAGTATTGCACATGCAATAACTTTCTATTAATTTGAGGTAGGATCACAACATTCATGCCACAGGCACATCTTTTGAAGACGCAGGTAAATTTTGAAAATAGGCCAAATCTGACCGAGAACAGAAGTGGATTCAATTAATTTGTATTAAAAGTTTATTTACAGCATTTGACATTGCCTTTTTCCCTACTATCGTGGAATGAATGAATCACATATCATTTATTGAGGTCTTGAACAAACTATTACACACTGGGAAAATAGTTTTTATGAATCAGGAGAATGCCTCTGATTCAGCATATCTAGAATGATGATCACAGTCATATGTAGTCATATTTTTTCACTACTCTGTATGATTTTATGTTCTTTTCATTCTCTTTCATCGATTGCAGGGAGGATGGAAAAGATGGTCTCAAATTCTACACAGATCCCAAGTTCTTCTTTGAGAGGTGGTGCAACGAACAACGAAAAGACATTGAGAATAACATCAGGAAAAGGAAGAGGAGAAGAGTAGGTTGACCGCTATGTACTTTTTAGTGATTTCTGAGTTTATACAGATGTTTGTTTTACAGATGTAGATATGCCTTGGAATCGATGGAAATCCAACCCTTGAATAAGTACATTTCTATGAAAGCGGAAAATAAGAGAAACATAATGGCTAAAGAATTTGTGTCTTTTTTTACTTGATGTAATTACTGCATAAATAGTGTCTTATTATCATTGGCGTAGTAGGCTATAAGTGTAAGGATGAATTATCTTTGTGAAAAAAAATGACTCCCTTGTTTTGCTGAAGAGATATGGATAGGTTACGTCTTTGTTATGTAGCATCTATTTTTAATAGATCATTCACGAAAGTATCTCTTTTACTTCAACAGCAAAAGAAGCCAGCAGCAGAGAAGGGTTCGATGCCAAAGGTCCCTGTGAATACAAGGAAGAACCGTTATCAGATGTATGCAGGTGGGGCAGAGTTTGCCCAACACCAGAGACCTCAGCAGAGTATAACGAACAGCCACATTTCATCAAACCAGGTTAACCAAGATTCAGAGAAACAAAGGATATCGCACTCTGACTCCATCATCTCCAGTACGCCATCGGATGATTCGGGCATCAACGGTCAGTCACAACGAAGGAAGCCATCACAGGGTCCGCCACCTCCACCACCTTCACAGGGTGGTGAGTCTCCCATGAATGGGGATGTGGTGTTGCGGCCAGTTAGGCCGGCGCCAGGTCGCCCGCCCAGCCAGCAACAGCTACCACAACCACCACCCATGAACCACCACGTCCCTACTATGCCGCCACCCCCTCCACCCAATGTGCCTCAACCACAGAGTTACCTAAGCTCTGGAACATCCGGTTACTCGAGCTCGAGTGACCTACCACCTCCGCCACCACCGCCACAACCCATTATGATGAATAACTACGCACCGGCCCAGCCGCCGCCACCAGTATTGTCGCAGCCACTTCCAAACAACATTCCCGCTCCACCTCCCCCGCCTCCTGTGGGCGGCCCAGCCGCACCCCCTCCACCACCCATTGGTGGGATCCAGAAGCCTCCTGTAGCCAACAACAATGTTCCTGCCCCGCCTCCGCCACCCCCTGATCAATTTAGGCTACCATCGGTGCAACCGGCTCCGGCCTCGAATCCTAACAATACTAGTCCTGTCGTCAATTCTCCCAACAAGCCCCAGCCAGTACAGGCCAGCGACCCAAGGAGTGATCTACTAGCAGCTATCCAAGAAGGTTTGTATTTTGTACTTTTGGTTTCTAAACAGTTTATTTTATTATTGCAATTTATATATAATCCAAAATATCATGTACAATTTATCCAGTTTTGCTAAGAATGATTTGTACAATATGTACCTGTATTTGATTTGAGACAAGATAATAAAAATATCTTTAACAAAAATAGAAAATAATTAAATAAAAAATCTGCTTTTGAAATTAAATCATTCCTTTGCAGACTGAATCCAATTTTGGTGCACTTTTTTGTCATTTGCAGCATATGTGCTGTTAGTATAGTTATGGGGCTGCAGACTTTGGAAATTTAGAAAGCTCCTGAAAAAAATCAGTTGAAATCAATACATTGAATTTAACTAACTAAATACATATCATTATTTATTTCATCATCAACATGTCTGTGGTGTACATAGATAATTCACAAAGATCACTAACTAGCAGATATGTCCCAGGACAATGGATTTAGCATAACAGGGCTTCAAACATATATACAGATATATATGATACATACAGGTAGTTCAAATGAGATAGCATACATTGCAAAAAATCATTCCAAGTTTTAAGTTCACCAACATCCCATTATTAAAATTAACCCTTAAAGGGATTGGGTAACTTTGTCTCAAATTCTGAAACAAAATCCTGGATTTTAATAGCTCATACTACAATCAAAATTATAAACCTTTAGGTTAGTCAGGAACCCCATGACTTTTACAAGCCGATCGCCTGTCTGATTATCAAGATATTTATGATTGGAAATCAAAATTTAAAAATTCCTTTTCCTAACGGTTTTCATAACACTGCAGTCTATTGGGGAAAACGGGTATGGTAAAACCGGTCACTCAAAGATTTTTACTTTTTTGAGGCACTTCTTGATCATTTTGAAGCTAAATATTTTTAGGGCTTCAACATTACACCATATCACAGACACAAATAACACGTAGGGCCATGCATCTCAGATTTAATATTTTTAAACGATGCCTTTAAAAGAATTTATCTTGTTGTGTTTCAGGAATGAAGCTACGCAAGGTGGAGGTCCAAGAGGAGAAGCAACGTCACAGCGAACCGGCGCCAAACAGTGTAGAAGCCATCCTGAGACGTCGTATAGCGGTCGAGCTCAGCTCAGACGAGGAGGATAGTCAAGTATCTAGCGACTACGACGGAGAGTGGTCGGACGAGGATTAAAATGGTCTCTTGTAAAACCAGAAACTTTTGTTCTTCGCCTGGAACTTCCACAATTTGTTATGATGGTGGTCCCATGCCGTGCAAAGATTCCATGTTTTTGCCAACCACAATGTCTTGTGGAATTTGGGGAAAGATTGAAGTCTCTGGTTTTGCAATACACATTAGTTTTGATTGGATGAGAAGACCCTGCATAATCAACAACAACAAATTGTCACTCAAGTGACAAGAATATAATATATATTTCTTTTTATACCAACAAAAATTATTGCAAACAATGCTCAAATGTACCCTCTTGAAATTAAAAATAGTGGAAAAAGTGCTCGACATTTTGGGGGTTTGGTGAATCATGTATAGCAAGATGGAACTTGTATATGAGCTGTAATTTCTGCTTTTTTTATGAAGCTGCTATTTTGTGAAGCCAAGCATGAAAACTTAGATTCCAGATATAGCAAAGAAGGAATTATCAAAAAGTAATCATGTAGAACTTCATTATTTCACATCACCTAGCCATACATTTTAAATTTTGAACAATTTTTAATTTTGAGTGGAATGCCAAATTCTGTCTTTGCAACTTTTCCTATAAAATTAGAAGAGGGCCGTGTGTCTTTTATCACAAAAAAATAGTCATATAGATATGTAGTGATAGCTGACACTTTATGCCAGCTAGTTCACTTTCATCTTGGATATTCCTTTCGTAACAAGTTTCAGTTCAGTTAAACCATTTCCTTTTTTGTTGTATTGTAATTGTGCATTATTTTGGAGAAAATTATTAGATTAATACAAAGATGGAAGTTGTAGGAGTTTCATCAGTCCTTCCTAGTATAGCTTAGCTTATTGGACATGCACTTCAGACGCAAGTTCTCCGCCGAGATTCAGAATGATGTTCCTTCAAATAAGTTAACACAGAGTCAGCTCCCTCCTGGATCTCAGCGGTCGGTTTGTCGCTGACTTTAGTTAAACATATATTCTTATTTAATGGTCCTCATGCAGGTCACTTGCATTTGGCTTGGCCAGTCTATGAGTTTGACATGTAATTATGCTATGTAAATGATGTGATATAGAAGAACTGTCATTTCAAGTATGAATGAAGTATGTATTGTAAATAGGAACATATATTTACATTTTTGGTGAAAACTTTCAAAAAAATGTAGAATTTTGTACATTATGAATTGTCTATCGCTCTTCACGGCCCAACGTATGACTCGAGAGAGAACACTCTGGAGAGCCATCATCGACAGGGTCACAAAGGGTCAGTCAGGGGTCGTAGGACCGTGACGACGACGATGAATTGTACAGCTAATTTGCAAAGGGTGAGAGAATAAATTTAGTGGATATTGTCACTCCGTATATTTCTGCATGCAAAATTTTCTTATCTGTCTAAAGTCTAAAAATGTTGTGGGTATTTAAGATGATAAAGGGAGAGCAAAGTATTAGGGTAGGTTTTATTCAGGAATACCAGGGGGGTGTTTCACAAAGATCCTAATTTGGACTCTGAGTTTGACTTAGCATTTATGGAAAGCCGTTAGCATCTTTGAAAATGTTTTATAAAAGTTCTTTTTAAGAGGCATAAAATGTTGATTCAAATCATTCATATTTTCTATTATCAAGGAGATTTCATGTTCTAGATGTGGAATTTACGAAAAGTCTAAAATACTTAAATTTCTGCTTTTGAATATATTTTTTGTTTTAAGGCTACAAATGGCTCTCCATAATGTTTAAGTCCAACTTAGAGTTAAACGCGACTTAGAGTTTTTGTGAAACACCCCCCTGTCACCGAAGAACCCCATTCTCATTACAAGAATGGGCTGGGGGACGCGCTATGGTTGCGCCGTTGCACATCCTTGGACGACCTGATATGACATCAGTGCGTTCTCACCTCTGTGATAGCAAGATCTAGAGTGCACAGTTGGCTAACTCTTGCATTGGGAACGGGGTCGAAGACTCTTGTAGATCTTTTTTCCCCCTTGTTGCCACTTCAATGTTTCATATTATTATTCAACCTGTCTGATGTGGTTATTATCCTGTTGGTTATATGAGACTTATACATGTATTGTGTCCCATACCAAATTTATATAAGCAAAGAATCATGTTTAATTTAATCAAATCTGTGAAATTTACATCCTGATCTGTCTGAATAGATTTTGGAGAAAAAAAATCTAAATGCTCAATCCCCATTGAACGAGCTTTATTTACCCTCTAGATGAGTGCCAGTGTAATTTATTTTTAATATTATTATATATTGATAAGCACAATCTGGTAGATAGCACATTCGTCACATTTGTAATCTTTCAAAAATGTGATATGCATATATGCAATATTTGCCTAAATATGAATTGATTGTAACAGGAAGCCGAGACTGAAGGCAAGAGATGTACATGTTGGTCATTGTGTATTCGTTTTATGTGCATGTATACACATTATGTACCCGATGGCCAAGTGAAAAGTATTTGGCGTCACCTGCCTGCCTGGGAGATGAAAAGCGAAACTGAATCACTGTAAAAATCATTGGTTCTTTCCTCTTGGTATTATCGATAGGGGGGTGTGCAGGTAGACCACTTCACCAGGGGATCCCCCTACTCTTTACGAATAGTGCAGTGGGTTCTTAACCTGCAAATGTGGTGACTCTCCTCTACACAGGGCCCCATCCATTTAACGTCCTATCTGAGTTTTCCACTGTCTCCATCTTTGAAACAGGGGAGGGGTACGTTGACACACGATACAAACTTCAGTCATCCGCCTGCGTTGGATTCTAAACCACAATTCTTGGTTCGACAGGCGGACGCTTTACCGACCGAGTTAACTGGCCTCCTCTTAGTCAAAGTATACACAAGAACTTACATGTACATGTACACTGTAGAAGCACAAGTCATATCAAGAACCACCCTTCATAGGCACTTGCGCGAAGTTACAAATCTTTGGTTAGATCTGTACACCTGATACACTGTTTATCTCTTCAAATTCTTTTTGTACTTCAGTACTACTGCCATCAAATTTTTTCTTTTCCAGATCGTTGAATTTATATGTAAGGAAATTTTATTACTCTCAATATTAAAGATAACAACGTCACACTTAACTAGGCAAAATGAATTGAAATATTCTGTTTCTGTTCTATCATGAAAGGGAATAAAATGTAATGACACACAAAAAGGAAGGAACAAAATGGAATGGATACCCCAAAAAACGTGGGATAGTCTCAGCATGGACCTCGTCTCGGTACAGAATCGCGTGTTTGACCAATCGTTTGATCAGGATCTAGGAGTGAGTTGTATAATACAGAGTAAAGTGTGCATGTACATGCTCCAAACCATGCAAAAATGAGAAGACTTTTAAGAGTGAACATCACTCAAAGTCTTTAAAATATAGGCCTAGATAATATCTGAAACTGAAAAGCTCAGTATTTGTGATCATGCCAAGCTTTGCTTTGAAGAAAAAAATGTCACATTACAGCAGGTAATTTGTTCATGGTGGATCTATTCTTATTTAACTTGTATTGTACATACAATAATTATATTATTATTATTATTATTGAGAGGCATAAAATGATTTTGTTGTATTTACAGATCAACAAATTATGTAAATCTTTATCTGTATTTTCCTCTTTTTTTGGGGGGGGGGTGGGTTGTTTGATGTGCTAAAATCGAGGCCTAGTCATACATTCAAATTTGTATTGGATTCATGTTCTTTGTTGGTTTGCAGCACAAATACAGGGTGTTTAAAAAAAAATGCAATGAGAGCTTGATTGGTAATATCTTGAAAAGTACTCAAAAGACATCCATTCTCAAAACTTTGTAGGTAATGTTGTAGTATTATCCCCTAATATTTGGCAAATTCTGCAAAGATCTAAGCTGAATAACAAAGTTATGATCATTTTTGTAGAATGTAGCACAATATCCTGGCACCTGATAGTGCCAATCAAAATCGTGTAACATTTTTTAGACACCCTGTAGATTGTGTTTTTTAATACACATACTAATGAGGACAGCTCTATACTTTTTAAGATACTGCTAATAAAAATATTGTTACATTTTTGTTTAGATACTCTGTAGTCTGTGTTACATGTATATGTTAATACACAAATTAACTTTTGTATCCCATTGCTAATACAGTGCACATGTACAAGTCTTTATTTATCCATTTGATTCAAAAGATCCCTTCTTCATATCTACATGTTTGTGGGGACATTCATGTCATTGTTTCTAAAACTGCATTATCTATATGTACTTTCCTTTTTGCAAAGGGAGATAGCCGTTTGTTCTCGAAGATTCATCATTTTGCAGACCAATTTTTGTTGGCATGTCATTTTGTCTTGAGTTTGAAGAGTTATTTTTGTTATTAGTGTTTTGTTTGATTTGAGCAATACAATGAATTATTTGAAATATTTACTTTTCTTCAGAGTTGTACTCTCAATTTTTATAATTATTTACATTATCCTACTGTAATATCGCTAATTACCATGTAGGATTTTTTCAGTCCTAACATTTATGAAATTTAATTTCTTTTGATATGATTTATCTATTTTTATTTCTAATGTATTATATGGTGGAGGAATTCTTCCTTTAGTTTTCTGTGTATTCGTATGTATGAGCAAGGGTACGGAAGCAGGGATGCTGTATAAGGTTCATAAACTATGTGGATTAACAGACAATGCATTTGTCGTCATAACAACCAAACTTACTGGCAAAGGAATGTAATCAATCATTACCAAATCAAAACTGTCCACGAAGATGATTAATATGGTACTAAAAGAAAACAAATATCAAAATCCTAATTCAGAAACCTACTGGAGATCAAAATATGAAATAAATATATGAGATATATATGAATTACCTTTTAGAATTATTATTCCTGATACAAGAACTAGATTTTCGCAATATAAGAGAAGTACACGATGCTTTAATACTGGTAAATGCAAAACCCCCCAAAATGAAAGTAATAGACAATGAAATGTGTTCTTTTAGTAAAAAAGAGCAAGAAACAATTGAACACCTGTTTATATACACAAGATTACTTGAACAAATTTCTAAGATGGTGGCATACGGTACTAGATTCAATAAATACATTTTTCAATTAAAGACGGGAAGATCTTAATTGGGGTACAAGACAAACGGCATGCTCTATGAACTTTGCAATCTTAGCAGTGATAAATGATCCCTTCATGAAATTGCTTTCAAGCCCATGACTGGAGATTGCTCATCTAGACTCTCCCTTTCTCTGTAAAGTTTATTATGTTAATGATTGGTTTTCCTGCCAAAAATTGATTTCCACATTAAGCTGCAATCATGTGTACATGTATTCTGCAACACTGTACCTATGTTAAAATCCACGTCTGCAACCTGGCTTTCTTGGTCTCTGTTTCTTGTCTCTATATATATATATACTCTTTATGATTTCTATGAATATCAATCATTATGGTTAGTTTTGATTTCTTCGCTCGCTCATTTGTACTACTACCATGCTTGTAATAAAAAGGAAGAGACTAACATTGGGAAATATCTTTGTAATCATCGCTTTGTTCTTTCTTCCTTTGAACGTATGTTTTACACATGCACACTAACTTGCCCTGCATTTTTATGAACATTCTCCTGTGTAATTGAGCTGTTATATTTTGTTGTTGTGAAGGGCATTACTAAAGCCTTGTCCAGGTGAACGGTAGTAAATCGCGGTCGGTTAAAAAAAAAATGATGATGTAATGTGTTATACGATTCACATTTCATATGTTCCAATACAGAGGTACACTGTACCGAACAGTAGGTGAATACATGTTGGACCTGCTGCACACAATTGTCATTCATTTACACGTAAAAAGCTGTGTGTTTTTGGCGGTGGCATCATCTCTCTCTGAACAAGCCTTGGAAGATGAAGACATTTTGATAAAATAAAAATCCCTAAGATGTGCAGAACATCACTGACGGACTTAGGCATGTTTTTAACAGGAATATAAATTACTCTTACTTTCCGAGGTTTCTGGAATTATCAAGGTTTCTGAACCAAATAACATTGCTGTTAATTCTAACACAATCCTACAGAAACGCTAGTAAAAAAATATAAAGCCAACAAAAATTTCTACAAAACAAATTTCATTTATTTTTCAAATGAAACACAAAATCATCAAGGTGAAATCACCTGTACAGTCAATAAAAAACGGTTACTTGAAGCAAAGTAATCTGAGCTTCTTACACAAGTATTTCTCAACATTAACAAGATTTTATCTGACTTTTTAAGTCAGTGAGTTACTGACACAGCTACATTCCTAATACTGCTTTTACACATCTGTTTTCACTTAGCATACATGTACATAGATTTAAAGATAAGCTTGAGTTCTGGTAATGATAGAAATTAAATTCTCACAGAATCCAACCAAACTCACACTGAATGTTCTAGATTACAAAAAATGACATGTGCCATGAGGAAATCGAGTTAAGTAGGCCTGACATCATGTGCTTAACACAGGTCACTGTGTGCAGATGGGAGTTGTGGTTTTTATCGAAGATGATGCCCAGTTAGCTTTTGTGAGGTTTTTTTTTTTATTTCACTGGTTCAAACAATCGATCTACTGCAGGATAAACAATCCAGAATAATAATAATAATAATAATAATAATAACAACATTTATAATGCGCACATATCCACCCCAAGAGATGCTCAAGGCGCCTAACAAGGTAAGTACATTGAACGAAAATAATTTAACATAATTAAATATAATTCAACAACGTTAATAACATCAGATTGTGAAATACACTATGTCTTAACTAAGGAATTCAGACATTAGATAGGTTTTCAGTTGTTTTTGGAACACATTTTGATTGGCTGACATTTTGATTGAATGGGGTAGGGAGTTCCATAACCGGGGTGCAGCAGCTATAAAAGCTCTGTCTCCCCAACTCCGCTTTGTTTTTAATTGTGTTAAATTTGTTGAATTACAGGAACGAAGACCTGCACGAGAACTTAAAGAGATATTAAGAAGAGAGGAAATATATTCAGGGACTGATCCATTTAGTGAACGGTAGGTGAGTAGTAGAATTTTATATTTGATACGCTGTTCTATTGGAAGCCAGTGAAGCCAGTGAAGCCATACCAGAGCTCAAGATTAGCTTATTACTACACATTAAAAATGACTAATTAACAACATGATGATGATTAATTGTTGCTCCTGATTTGCATAATTGGCTCATAGCAAATGACCCTTTACTAACATGCACTCTGAAAGAACACTCATTCTGTCATGTAAGTACCTTTGGCACAAAAGTCTACGATGTAAAAGCTACATAAACGCGCAATACTGAGTTTACACATTTGTTTTCATTGAATGAAAAGCCTATACAGTGTGTATGTACATAGATTTAATGTAGGCTATTTCTACATTAAAAATGTCAAATTAACGACATAATGATGATTCATTATTGCTCCTGATTTGCATAATTGGCTCATAGCAAATGACCCTTTACTAATCTGCATTCTATAAACATACTAATGCTATCATGTCAATAACGTACATCTACATTCCTAATACTGCATTTACACATCCGTTTTCATTCAATGAAAAGCCTATACAATGTGTATGAACATAGATTTAATGTAGGCTATTTCGACATAAAAAATGACAAATTAACGACATGATAGTAATGCATTGGTGTTCCTGATTGAAATTATTGGCCGTTATCAAATGACCCTTAAATAACATACCGGTTCACTCTAAAAAAAAATTAATTCTGTCATTTATTACCTTGAGGTGGAAAACCCATTAGGAAATGAAGAAAAAAAAAATTAAAGACGAAGAAAAAAATGAACTCAGCAGGGTGATAACTGTGAACCCAGTTAGTTGAAGAAAAAAATGGTCTCGCAACAAAACAACAACTTTTTCAACAAAACTGGCAAGAGGTTCATTCAGCATGTTTGGCAAAAATTTGACAATTTCAAAAGGGCCTGTTTTTTAAGTTTTAACAAAATATATCAATGGTAAATGTGACTTAAATTGTCTCTAGGCAAATGTCATAAAAACTGATTATTTTTTTTAAACATCACTTTATTGATCATACTTGCATAACAAAGGAGACATAATAGCCTAGGATAAAACTATCTTATAGGGCATAAAGAAAAGAATGGCTTATTGAGCATACAGTAGTTACAGCATATAAAACATACTGTTAATGTAGCATAAAAGAAGAACCTGCTGAAACAACAATGAGGGAATCGATTTAATACTACAAGTAATGTGTAATGCAAATATAAACACTCCAGGAGGTGTTTCATGAAGACTAAGATCGACTTTAAGTTGGACTTAACTATGGCAGGCCGTTCATGCCACTATTTTCTCTCGCCATTATGATCCTTACATGTAGATAACTTGATACTTTTTCCTTCAATAATGAACTATCAAAAAATGTAAAGTCTGTAGATATGTGACCATGATTTGTACATCCCTTGAGAGACTAATGCCAGTAAATGGTGAGAGCAACCAGTGGCATGATTGGCCTGCCATAGTTAAGTCCAAATAAAAGTCAATCTTAGTCTTTGTGAAACGCCCCAGGGCTCCCAAAGAGTATTGACACTTTATTGAGGGATCACTGAAAAGTCACTCTAGGCTCAGAGCAGAGTTGTGGAAGGAATACTGATGGCTCATATAGCAATGGAAGGTCACTGAAGGGTCACAGCAGGGTCATGGAAGGTCGTGGGGGTCATCACATGGCCAGGGAGACCACCATGGGGCAGTGGTCGCTCCCGAATGTCTGCAATCTCATCTGGTTGTCGCACAGCTTGGGTACCAGAGCCTTGGAGATCACGCCGTAATCTAGTCTCCTAAATGAGTGAAAGAGAAGGGGGAGATTGTGAAGATGGTAAGAGCTGTGCTCTTAAAACATTATATAACAGTGCTTTACTGCCCTCGACCTGTACACTAATATAATCAAATTTTATTAATAACTTTTAAATAAAGGTTGTTCTTTACAACCTGAAATCTTGTCAGAGGCTTTCTTATGATACAACACGTAGCCATGTACATGCCATTTATCATTATTGATTTACCAATAGAAGCCATTGAACCGATGAACACGTCCCACTGGAAACTGGAGCCCTGCACGGGATGAGTGCATGTATACCGGTACTCAAGTTTCCAAACTTTTTTTGAGGGGTTTATTTCACTGACACTACTCATTTATCTACATGTACAAGTACAATGGGTTTCATTCTGCTGCTGCACATTTTTTCAGGTACTAGTAGATGTACCAAATTGTGTGTGAAAAATGCTTGTGGTATTAAAAAAAAAAAAAAACCTACCAGCCGACATTCTTAGCTCTGCAGTTACCCATGTAGGTCCAGAAGGAGTAAGCATCCGCTTCTTCCGGGTAAAGGTGACGGAAAGAATCCACGAACCCCATGTCGAGAAGCGAGGTGAAGCCCTCCCTCTCTTGGTCGGTGAAGCCTGGCGTCTTGTTGCGATTGCTCTTTGGATTTTTCAAGTCTGGGGAGGAAATAAACGAGATGAACAAATAGTGAAAACTCCCACTCAAGTCATTAACGATAATGACAAGGGTTGGCAATTCGTCAGTTTGGAGATGGTTAGCACAACAGGGGAGTGTTTCACTGTTTGCTCTCACCATTATGATCTTTAGATATTAGTTTTTCCTTCAATAATGAACTATCAAAAAATGTAGATTCGTGACCATGATTTGTACATCCCTTGATCCCGGCCCCCCCACTCAGTGTTATTTAGGGTACGCATATGCGTGTTCCAACCGACCCCCCCTTTTCAGCAAAAGTCCGGTGTGTAAAGTCAATACGGCTCGACCTTTTTCTTTTGTATACGAGCCTTTTTCCGCACCCCCCCTTTTCAGCAAAAGTCCGGTGTGTAAAGTCAATACGGCTCGACCTTTTTCTTTTGTTACGAAAAGGACATTTTGGCAACACGCATGCGGTCATTTTGAAACCTGAGTGGAGGGGCCGGGCCCTTGATAGACCAATGCCAGTAAATGGTGAGAGCAAACAGTGGCATGAACGGCCTGCCATATTTAAGTCCAACTTAAAGCTGATCTTAGTCTTTGCGAAGCAAGGAGAAAATGAAGTTTTACAAAATTATATTCTTGATGCTATATCAATGTTGGATTCCAGTGAATTCTTTAAGTACTATATTCATAAAATAATTTGTACTTTATTATGAGTCCAATTTTGTCAGTTCTGACAGTTTTACCTCTTGCACTGGGCATTCAATATTGCAATAAACATTGCAGTCAGTGTTCAAGTGCTGTCGAGCACCGACTCGCATCCTTCTGTCACTTACCTATCTCCTCATGTGCGACATTCATATCGCCACAGCAGATTACCGGTTTCTTCTCATCAAGCTTCTTGAGATAGGCATGGAAATCTTTGTCCCACTCTTGTCTATAATCTAGCCTGCGTAGTGATCAAGATACATGTAGTGTATTAACACGATTGATTACAAGGAGCATATCGATGGTATTGGTGGGTGGGTAGGTGGTGGCAATGTTGATGGTGGTGGGATGATAGTTGTTGTGGTGGCAGTGGGTGTTGTGATGGATGTTGAAATGGTCTTGGTAATGGTAATGGTGGTGGTGGTGGTGGAAGTTGGGTGGTGGTTGGGTGGTGATGGTAGTGGGGTGGTGACGGATGTTGTAATGGTGTTGGTGATGGTAGTGGGGTGGTGACGATGGTGTTGGTATTGGTGACGGTGGTACTGGTGATGGTGGTAGTGGTGTGGTGATGGATGTTGTGAGGGGGTGGGTGGTAATGGATGGAGGGGGGGGGGTAATGGATGTTGTGAGGGCATGGTTGTTTGTGTTTGTGGTAGTGGGGTGGTGATGGATGTTGTGAGGGCGTGGTTGTTGGTGGTGGCGGTGGTGGAAATGACAATGATGAAAGTGAAGATGATGATGATAGTGATGATGGCATTGCAGATTATGGAGTGATGATGGTTGATGAAGAAGATGATATCAAAGATGCTGGCAAAGATTATGATAGTGATGACAATCATGCCATATACCAGTATGCTAAAAATCAGACAATGCATTATTGGCTACAAAAGATTATCACACAATACAGATTATCTTGCAAGCAAAACACCTTACAAACTGGGACACGAAATATCTTAACATGGACAATTGTCTATGATTTAGAATTAAAGTGATAATTACCTGACAAGCTTTCTGCTAGAATTGGGAACATCTGTATAAACAAAGAGACAAATTAAAAAGAAAAGGTGTTTGTTGAATAGGAGAGCTCTGATGAAAGAGCTCAACAATCCTCGTATGGAGTATGGAGTGAATCTAACTCTCAGGAGGGGATATTGACAATCCTCAAAATGATTTCAAAATACTTTCTCCATGCACCAGGAGGGTAGCAAGGTACAGTGCAAATGCATTACCAGAATGAATAAAATCTTGTTCTACTATCTCAAACAAATGCTCTCTTCACCAAGATATCAATATTTTTAAAATAATGTAATCTTTAAAAGCTTCAATGGTGAGAATAGATTTGAGCGAGATTTGCAGTTACACCAGGGTCCTGTCTTACAAAGAGTTACGATTGATCCAAATCAATCGCAAGTCCTTCAATTAATCCCAAGTTTGCAGTCTCCTATCTTTTATATACAAAGTTGCGATTGATATCAATCGCAAATTAGTTGCGATTGATATCAACTCTTTATAAGACGGGGTCCACGTATTCTACTTTTGACAGGGTAAGTTGGCTTTTAAAAAGGCCCCTGAATGTCTGAAGACAATCCTGAAGATTGAGGTAAAACCTATTGAAATGTCAAGATGGAGCCAAGTTGGTCCTTTTTAGGGCCAACTTAGTACCCTCTCGTAATAATACATGGTGTAACCTCAAACATGTCGCTCAAATAAATTTGAATACTTACAGACTCCTACAAAATAGAACGAGTCGTACTCGGCTGTGATCAGACGTCCTTCTTTGTCATGCTCTTCAATACCTGTGTAAAGAAAAAAGGCAGTATGAACATAAGAATACTGGGGTATACCCGTCCCACTCTATTTAAAAGAAATACATCAACTGACCCTCGGACCGTAAATCGACCAGCCCTCATTTTAAAATAAGAAGAACCTGCAAAAATGAAATCTATAAGCAGACATTATTTGTAATTTTTCCTTCAAATTATCGAGGCTCAAGGTTAAAAGGAATCTAAATGGATGTTCGACTGCACACCATTGCGCCTCCACCATAGAGCAATTTTACAAACCAAAACTAAAGCAATTTTTAAAATTGAAGTTTGATTGTAATCTATTAAAAGGTTCTCAGAATATCGTGAATATAAGCTATTTTTATATACATGTATGACCCTTTGAACTTTGACCTCATGACCCTAAAATCTAAGCAGTTCATTGGCTCTGCAAGATACATACATGTCCTGAGTTTGATAGTAATCCATCTGTAAGTATTGACAACGCGATCACAAGCTATTTTCGCGCACATAACGACCCCTGTGACCCCAAAATCTAATCAGTTCATTGGCTCTGTAAGATATATACATGTACATGACCCAAGTTCGGCGGTAATTCATCAATTAGTTCTTGAGATTATAAAGCGATCACAAGAACGGGACGTACAGACGGACAACCGAAAAACATAATGCCTCCGGCTACTTTGTAGAGGAGGCATAAAAAAGCATCTCCATCTCTCCTCAAGGAAAACTATGTTTGAAATTTCTGAAATTTTCCCAAAAAATTCACCATGGTATCTTCTTCATATTGCTTCATTCCTCATTCAGCCATGATGTGGTAACCTGGGACCCGTTTCACAAAGCCTTTCTTCAATAACAAATGACAAAAATCAGTGACAAATCTGCTGATAACCAATCAGAAGCAAGGATTTCAGTAGCTTATAACAAAAACTGTCATTTGTCACTGATGACAAGTTTTGTGAAACACCCCCCCCCCCCCCTGAGAGTATCCACTCACCCATGCCCTTGGTGACACTGAGGGGCTCCTTCTTGGAGAAGAGGGCCACGCCCGAATACCCCTTCTTCTCAGCGGCGTTGTAGGTGATGTGGTAGTCATCCAGGTCTGCCTCGGGAGGGGGCTTGGTGGCGTCGATTTTGGTCTCTTGGGCAAAGAAGATGTCGGGCGACTCCTTGGTGAGGTAATCTATCCCTCCTTTCTAAAGCATAGCATAGCAAAGAATAAAGCAAAGATAAAGAAATAAACATTGCATAGACATATCATTCATCAAAATGTTGAGACAAATTGGGGTCGGTATAAAAAACGTCAGATGCAAAAAATGTCAGGGGTAAAGGCCCAAATTCACAAAGCAGGTTTAAATTTAACCCATGGTTTAAATCTTCATTTACATAACTCATGGTCTAAAATTAGTACAAAATAAGCGTGACACAGTCAGAGGTCCAATATTAGACGCGTGCAAGGCAAGGTATGCTTAATTTGCGCCAATTTTAAACCATGGGTTATGTAAATGAGGATTTAAAGCACGGGTTAAATTTAAACCTCCTTTGTGAATTCGGGCCATTAAGGTCAGATATAAGAAACATGTTTTCTGGCATTTTTACCTGCATTTGACAAATGAGGGTCGAGAGAGAGAGGTCAGAAAAAGAGGGTCGAGATATACACATATCATAGAGCCAGTTTTTGTGCAAAGGGCAGATCAAAGAATCTGAATAAGGGAAAGGGGGGAGGTAAAGGGCGAGGGGTAAACGTCTGAAATATCTGACAAGCAAGAGAAACATTTCATAAATGCAAAACTGGTTTCAAGGGCCGGTTGTTCTTTATCCACTAATACTAGGTATGATTTCACTGTTTGGTGATTTAAACAGCTCATGGCACTGGAAGGGTTAACCGTAAAGGACACTGATTTACACATACCTTGATCCATGCTTTCATTCCTCCAACATTCCAGGCTGATATTTTCAAGTTGCATGCTCTGACAAAATAAACGGGAGGAAAGCAAAACTTTAATAAGAATTCATTCACACAACAAAAATTAGTCGTTTACATACATTACAAAACCATACTACAAGGCTTGACATTAACAGGGGACCGAGAAAAGGGGCACCCAATTTCTACAGTCAGGACCCCTAAAGTTTCAAGATTTTTGCATAATGCTCATACACACAGACTTTCACATTTTGAATTTGGACCCCCTTCCAAAAAAGGACTTGTGGTCTTTTGAGATGTCGATTCTGTGAACCATTTGGAAATTTTGCGGGCTGTTGCTTTATCGGGAGGTCCTCACACAACACTTGTTGAGGAGAGTCCTACTCAACGATTTTCAAACTGTTTTTATCTTAATTTTGGTTTATAGAAACTTACTCTCCTGATTCTGATTTCCTGTCGGTGGTGTAAACTTCTTCCTTTGGTTCTTCTGCAACCTGCGGAAGATTGGACAGAAAAGGATTCAATTGAAAATCGAACATACATGTAGTTGGTAGTGTGAACTCTACCAAGAGAGACTTTCAGATAAGAGATTGGAAAATGACATCATTAATTTAGTTACCCAAGGAAAATTCACGACAACTGATAATTATTGACAAATTATATATGGATGGAAAGATTTATTCTTGAAAAACACAGATAATTTGCTGAAAAAACATAAAGATATCTTGGAAAGGCGTAAAAAAGCAATTTTGTGGCTAGCTGTGTCTCGCATGTGACGTCACAAATCTTGACGCTCTACGGAGGACCACTGAAGGCAGAAAATCTGGATCTCAAAATTTTCGAGGGATGATTAATTGGGCCCCAAACATGTTTTGAAGAGGGAAGTTGTTATATTTGATGAGTAAGGCTTCCCTCTCGCAATGATATGAATTTTGCATCAATTCAAAATACTTTTGATTCTTCGGTTGACTACTTCTAGAATGAAGGTGCTCGACTTCAGAGTGGGGCAAAATACTTTGAAGGTTACTGAATGCTTTTGAGCCTGAAGAAACAATATACTTCTCTCCCTATGCTGTTTCAAAGGAAATCTTCATGTACAAGTTAGATTTGTCTTAAATATCATGCATATTTCGAAATACATTTACATATGTACAGGGGGAACGTATACCGCATTTCACTCCGACTCATCAGAAAATGGAGCCGCTTTCAATCACATAACACAGTGTACTTGATTTAATGCCATTTTATAATAATAATAATAATATTATTGGATATTTATATAGCACACATATCCACCCTGCAAGGTGCTCAAAGCGCTCCAATATCACCCCGGCTCTGCTAGGCTACCGATTTCAGTGCTCGCAGCATTCAAGGAATTTCTTCCTACCGGTCCCCATTTACTTCACCTGGGTGGAGTGTGGCAAATTTAGATCAATTCATTGTTAGTACATGTGGAAGAACAATTTTGTCAATTCCTTTCTTGTTCAATTTCCCTTCCACAAAAAAAAAGAAGAAAGTTTATTACCGGTACCTCTGGCTTGGCTTTCTTCTCAGCAACAACTTCCTCCCCATTGCTTGCTTCTTCGTTTTTCTGAAAATGAAATAGTAATGCCATTGCATAATATATACAATCATACATGTAAACATATGTATATATTTTATTTGTCCTGAATAGACATACAGGATACAAATAAGAATAATATAATTAATGAGACTTCAAATCTCATGAAAACTACTTAGGGAAGTTCTGATATTACCATGTAACTCCAATAATGTGACACTTTTCGAAGTGAAATCATTTTTAGCACCCTTTAATCCTTATTACACTGGTCATCAAATTTGTTTTGACATATATTTCAAACCGAGCCTGAATTCCAATCAGAACATCTCTGGAATTGTCATCATCATCTCTATCTAAACACAACAATAAGGTAAGTCAACATCGATCCTCATAATGTCTAAACTGCAGTTTTGAATAAATTCATCAAGAGGGGATGTTGCCTTTAGTTCTTATGTGACCTTTGTGTTAAAATGCATAAGAGCGATTTTAATTGCAACTAATCAGTAAAGTCTCTAAATTGGCAATGTGTTGTAAAATATGGAATCCCTATTTCCACATAAAACTTTCACATTGGTTCATTTTCATAGTATACAAAGGCAGTCCCTTCTAGGTTAATTTATTCACAACATTGCAGTTCAGAAATTTCGAGGAGTTGCTCAGAAAAGAACTTGCTAGGTTTTTGTGGTTGTGTTTAATTTGGGAATATCACTGATGGTATCACTTCATATGTAAAGGTGCAACGCTCGATTCATAACAGAGTCCAAAATGACCCCCTGTAGGGAGATTTTACAGAATTTTCAAAAACCTTTGACCCCTCTATGCCTAAAAACAGGTAAATGTATAAAATATACTCTAAATAAAACCCTAATTTGGGCTTACGAAGTACGAATTCCCAGAAAGTACCTTATTTCTGTTTGAAATACATGTACACTATATATGAACCTTTGTTGTGAAATTTCTTGCTTATAGAATAAAAAGAGACTCTTCTCTTCTTTTTTCTCTCCCAAATCTATAAACATTTTATATTCCCGCTCCCTCCCCCCCCCCCCCCCCCCTCTCTAAAAAATGCCCCTTCTTTCACAATATTTCCAACTTTCATGCATACACAAAGACACTATGAAGTGACATCTCCAGGGGAATATCATGAAAACAGCATCATCATCATCATCACGTGACTGGGGTCTTAAACAAGAGAAAGCAGACAAAGATAGAATGAGAGATTTGGATGTTGATTTGTCAGCTGAAATCACGTACAACAAAAGGAAACAAAATGCATCAAGAATCCTGATATATTTCGAAACAGCTTTATTAAAAAGCTCCTTTTTATTTTCAAGAGTACATGCATGCTACATGTATAATGCTTGTCAAAATGGTGCAATAATTATGTACAATTTCATAGGTACAAAACAATGTACAACTATATATAAAATTATAAAAGATGTATTATTACTACATGTATATACAAGAAAAGATCTCACAACTATAAATCGAGAATATAACAAACATGCCAAATTGCTGTTTAAGAAGTACAAATGAGTTGTATAGCTTGTACAGAGTTAATTGAAGACCCCCAAAAATGTTTCTTCTCTCAATACCCAATCTATTAATAAACTTGTCGCTCAATGGCAGTCATTTAATAAAGTTGTTTTCTTTCCCTAATGTTCTCATCAGTGTACTGTCTGATTTTGTCGGGACATGGTTTGAAATAAAAAGGTTACAATGGATCATACGCATATAAAAAAAGGTGATTCCCTGTCAAGCAAAAGATGAAGCTCGAGCAGTTGCTTTAAACCGTGTGCATATAACATTTGGCTTGTGCTCAATGCCTTGGCTTGTCTTCAGCAAGCAATTGAATACGGTTTTAACAATAGTGATGTCACGCCGAATAGTTTTCAAAAGGTTTTTGGAGCAATTTCTTCTCGATTTATTCTACTCCTGTGCAACTTTGGCCCGTTTCTCTTACAAGCATAAACATGATACTGAAAGATAAAGTTGAGTTCTGGTCATGCGATTGCATTGTGAAAGAAACGTTGTGGAATCGATCAGAAAAGGTTAATCATCTAGCATATATAAGTATTGGTGTGTACTGCAAGGTTCTGGAATCATCAAAATGATAAGAAATTTGGCCCAGTCTTGGTAAAGTTACAAGCACTCTACACAGAAAGATGTATATGGGACTGCGCGATATCTATCCAGGCCGGATAGATATGATGATTTACAAATATATCAATTAGTAGGGGGTTTCCCGGCAAAATTTTTATCATCGCGTCATAGTCTAAACATATTCTTTCACATGATTGGTAATAAGAGAGCTTTGATTTCATTTTTTAAAACTGGTCTATACCTTTAAACGTGAACGTCCTGATTAAGCAAGAGCTCAAGCTGGTATGCCGGAGCTAGAAATACATCAGCAAATGCTTATAAGAACAAGCAAATTGTTTCTTTTTATGCATGCGTTTTGGAGCTAGAAAAACCTTTGGCTTGCAAGCAATTGCTCCTTTCCAGATTCAAGCAGATGCAAGGACAAGCAACTGCTACCGGTACTTGCTATGCTTGTTTATGTACATTATTTCCCCATTGTCAAATACAATATTATTAAAAAGGCAGGAAAAGCTGATTGAACAAAATGATTATTAAAAAAACAAAAAAACAATTTATCTATACCAGCTGATATGCTCAAAATATTATATATGTTTTACAATGTATATAATAATAATAATATTAATAATATGTCTTGTTTACCCAGGGTAGCCTCATCAGTATTCATACTGTTTTCCCTGAGGGCCCTACAATCATATTATTACCCCGGTCATCGGATTCAGGCTTACCCGCACACAATGTATGCACATTATTCACTCCCTGGGGAGCATTCCAGCCAGTGCATCATTTTTACATAAGTCAGATACAGATATTTCACATTAGCCTTTCAAGTATCAAAGTGAAATTTAAGATTTTTTTTCTGTGTAGGAAATTGTGTGAAAACATTTTCCTAGCATTGTCAGGACTTGACAGAGATGCCAACAATAAAATTTCAGCAAAATATTTACTGGTAAGAACGGTCAAGTAAAATGTTTACTCCTTCATTAACATTTAATGAGAAAATTGTAAAACAAAGTTTTTGATGGGGTTGCGGGGGTTTACATGTACATGTTTCTATGCGATTCCGCTGTTTTTTTGTTGTTGAAAGATGAAAAATCGTATTTCCAGAGGTGATATCGTATAATCGTATTTCACTCATATTTTCGTACTATATACGATAAAATCGTACTGGTTGGCATCTCTGGAACCCCTAACATACTGAGCGAGATATTTTAAAGTAATTGGTACACATTAATTTTAAAATACTTGATGTGCTAGTGCCCTCTGATAAGGCATTCATCCTCATAGACTAGTCCCTCGGAGGGGTTTTAGAGTAATAATTTCCCCTAGTTTGTTTTTCTCCAAGCATATACGTGTACTTGCTCTTTAAGCAGTTACATCACAATGTGAATCGTTAATTTTCATTTTCATGGTCTCTATTCTGTGGTGGGGTGGAGGGGAGGGGAGAGATGAAGAGGGAGGGAAGGGAAGGGGGAAGAGGGAAGAAAAGGGAGGGGAGGGAAGGGGAGGAGGAAGGGAAGGGGAGCGAAGATGGAGAGAGAAGGGAAGGGGGATGAGAAGAGGGGAGGGGAGGGGGAGGGGGTAGGGAGAGGAGAGGAGAGGGAAAGAGGAGGAAGTGAGGAAGAAGAGGGGGAAGATATCAACCCTTGGTATTTCTCTTCCTGCATGGTCGATACTATCACATTACTATGGTACAGTCACAAATATAGAAAGCAGTTCCTTCAACAAAAAATACATCATCAATTGTCTTTATCATTTTCATTTGTCAGGTACTAGTAGTTCATTTCAGACTGAAAGACCAATGTCATTTTCATTGTCATTTGTCAGGTAGTTCATTTCAGACTTGAAGACCAGTTCCGTGATTTGAAATCGCAGCTGGGCCTGGGCTATGGGCGGAAGTGTCCTCACTGTCGAACAGATCGACTTGAAAAAGGTGTCTAATGCATCCTCTCGCGGGGCACTGTTGTTTGAGAATAGGTATCCCATCGTTTCCTTTTCGTCCTGATCTGGGAGCTTTCTCCTCTTGTCGGGTACATGGTGGTAAGGGACGGGCGTGGCAGACAGAATCTGGGTGGGGTGGGGGTAATCATCGTCGACTTCGCTTCCCTCTCCGTCGTCTTTGAAATGTTGCTCTCCGTCTTCCGTCACCGAAGACCTTCATGACACAGATTAAGAGCATAAGGATCATTATTATCAATATAAGGCTTCCAAGTGGTACATAAATCAGCGTATTCAATATCTTTAGCGCAGTACCTGGATGACAGACCAATATTGTTTTCGTATTGCTCAGTCATCCGGAAACTTCAACTATTGAAATAGATATCATATCGATATCGTACGAAAACAAAGCCATATTTACAGAGGTAACTCAAATTTTTTTATTTCGCTATTCAGAATGATATAGATAATAATAATAATATTGTATGGCTTTGTTTTTGTGTGATACAAGAATAAATTGCTCTCGCTAAGAAAATATTTGACTCGTCCAATACTGTCATAGCTCGAGCAATATATTCTTGTATCACACTCAAAGCCATCCAATATCATATTAATATTGAGCGTATAAATAAAGGCACAGCGCCATACGAGTACACCACTTGAAAGACATGTCCACACAGGCACACAGACGAGTCAATGGGCCTTGACGTTTCCCAACCATGCTCTGCAATCCTCAAGCAGTTCAATTAAGGGAGCAACTGCATAATACACCATCCCTAAGTAATCTTAATCCTAACCCTAATCCTAATCCTAACCTTGACTATGACCCAACATTATAATCCTACCCTTGACCCTGATCCTAAACCTTTTTCTGATCCAAATCCAAATCCTAACCATAATCCTAATTCAAATCTTAACCCCATTCCTAACACTATTCCTCATCAAAATCCTAACCCTATTCCAAACCCTAATCCTGATCCAAATCCTAACCGTATTCCTAATCCTAATCCAAATGTTTACTCCATTCCTAACCCTGATCCAAATCCTAATCCTAATCCAAACCATAACCCCATCCACAATTCCATCTCTAATATTAGGGGCATATAAACTTTTTTCTCACATTCCAGGGTTTTGTCAGAAGTTGCTAGGCAACTACATGTACCTATAAACACAAACAAAAACTTAACCAAAAACCCACCTTCAATTTTTTTTTTTTTTTTTTAAACGCGGGCCGAAACTCATTGAACCAATTCCAATTGTATGTGTGTACAGTCCATTTTAGATCTTTAGAATTGATATGCAAAACTATTTTAGGGAGAAATTTTTCAATATACAGTCAAACCTGCTTTAGTGACCACCTGTCTACAAAGGCCACATTTGTTGTTTCGCTTGAAAATGGTTTCTCATTAAATCATGTACTAAAGGAACCTGTCTACAAACAAAGACCACCTGTCTACAAAGGCCACTTTTTGTGTTTCCCTTGGGTGGTCGCTATAGACAGATTTGACTGTACAAAGAAATCCTGAACCATAACTTACTCGCCATGGGCGAGGTGTGGAAGCATGAACTCTAGCTGGCTGGCGTACTTGTAGTGATAGCGATAGGAGCTGTCTCCTCTGGGATCCGCCTTCTTCTTCTTGAGGCATCTACTGAAGCAATCTCGGATATTTATCCACCGAAGCTTAGCGTCTAGGTCTGTGATGATAATGGCAAAATGTTGAATAATAATAATTATGATGATGAGTATTCACCACGCATTTAGGTTATAAAATGCTCAAGACAATGGAACAAAAAGTAAGATAACAAGGAAAAGAACAACCTAGACTAACACTCTAACAGCATTACATTTATGGTAAGTTGTTAAAAAGCCTTAGAACTTAAAACTGCTCCAGGTTTGTTTTGTTTTTTAAATAAAGGGATACGGTTAGGGTTGCTTGCAATTGGGTTTTGCGGTTTGGTTAAGGTCAAGGGTTAGGTTAAGGTATAGTGTTGGTCCAGGGTTGAGGTAGAGAATTCAGTTGGTATGGGACATTGAGCGACCAGAAGGACATCGTTGCCAGACCATTTTAGACTTGTACACACATCCATCAAAGGTTTTCTATCTAAACGTTGTCATTTGGGGGTTCAAAAAAATGAGAGATTTCAGGGTTTGGAAGAAAAAACTAAAGTGACTAGAACTGCCTTACAGGGAGTGGGTCAGCAGTTTCCATGTGCACATGGCCCTATTTCGCTGACACCAGACTTAGTGGAAATACCATTAATGTGTGCACAAGTCTGTACACAGCAAACCCATTAGCCTATCAAGAAATACCCCCTAGTCTCTCAGGGTCTCGCGATAAGGGAAAATGCAAAGCAATACATACTGTAATGCCTGTTAGTCATAAAACTGAAGGCTAATCCTGGTGATTGACAACACCTGTTATTGGATAAACACCCAAACAACGGTGTTGAATTCCCCCCATGAGGGCCCACTCCGATGTGTCTTTAAAGAGAAGGTTGAGTTCTGGGAAGAATAATAATTGGTGAGCGTTTTCATTGTATTATGCAAGTGTGGAAGAACATCAGATAAAAAATGTTCCCTGAAAAGCATCGCTCTTCAAATGCCTTAATTGTTCTAAATTTGTCATGTAACATCATAACATTCAGGACGGATTTTTATGCAACATGTTCATGAAGTTCTATAAACATCTTTCTGTGTACAGTGCTTGTAACTTTACCAAGACTGGGCCAAATTTCTTATCATGTTAACTAGTTAATGATTCCAGAACCTTGCAGTACACACCTATAGTCTAGACACTTATAGGCTAGACGATCAGCCTTTTCTGATCGATTCAACGTTTCTTTCACGATGCAATCGCAGGACCACAACTCAACTTAATCTTTAACTCACCTGAGATGCCCAATATGGCACCGATTTCTTCCCATCCCTCTTGCCTCATGGTGTGGTTGTAGCTTTTGTGTTTTTCGTAGAGAAATGGGTGTTTCTCTACCTCAGCTATAAGCAGCTCATCTTTCTCGATTGAATGCTGCAAAAGGAATTTAAAACAGTTACTCTCAAAATAGGGATACTTTATTCATCATGACCATGATTTCATGGGAAGAAAAAGGATATTAAAATGATTGCATTTGTTTTGACAATTGAAACTTTTTCAGTATAATTAAGATACCGGTGACATATTTAAAAAAAATTACCAATATTAGGTCCAAGCTACAGTGAACTACACTGTACCTTTATTTGTACATTGTACAAAACTAGTCTTTCAAAAATTGAAGTATCACCAGATACTTTTAGATTTTATTCACTGTTTTACGAAAATGAAATATTAGAAAGGGGTATGGAGAGGAGAAGAGAAAAAGAAGCCCAACAGGCTATGGAAAGTGCTTGTTTAAATTGTAACAATAAACTTCCTTATTCCTTTGCAAGTACAATGTAGTATACTGTTTTTGTTTAGTGTTAGAGCTATTGGAGGAAAATCGGCCAATTTCTTTTTTCATACTGAAAAAAGAAGGCAGAATAAATACTACCGGTATACATACATGTAATAAGTGACAAGAAAAAAAAACAATGTACCAACACTTAACACATTAAACATCATTTATAAATTCAACAAATAGTTTCATATGTGTATTCATTTTACATCTACACTGTAGAATTAATCTATCTTAGAATCAGATAATAATTTAGGTTAAAAAGTTAATCTGTAATGAATGAAATTACAATCAGTAACAATGGATCTACTAAACAACAATGTATGGGGTACCCAAAAATATGAAACTTTTGGATCAGGGGTCCCTGCAAAGATAGTAAAAAATAAATAACAAGTTACATCTACAATCATAAGCCCATCCCCCCCCCCCCCCCCATCACCCCATCACCACATATTCTACCAATTGTATACATTTAAACCTGACCTGAGGACTATTTAAACTTTAAATTCATGTAAAACAAAGGAACACCACTAGACCTTAGACTGAATGCCTTTGCAAAACTCAACTCTAGACCAAGCTAAAACCAAGCGTTGGGTCAACAAAAATTAGAGTATATTAAAAGCAAAGAGTACAACTATACAAGTTCATTTTCCAATGGAAACAGTGTGATTTTGTTCGATTTTTCCAACTCTTTTCCCCTTCCTATCTGGATTTTGAAAAACTGCACAAACATTCTCCACATTCACAGCCAGACAGCGGAGCTTCAAATTTCTAAGCAGCGATGGTTTTGTGATCTCTAGTTAGAAGTTCTTCCACAGACAAAATCCCACTATTTACAGTGGAAAATGAACGGTCAGTTACAACAATCCAAGATTGTTTAAATACTTCTTCAAATTTTTCTTTCCGGATGACTAACCTTGTTCCATTTCACCGGCTTTGAGGCAGAAGTAATTCGTCGTTTAGCGATGTCTGGTTGGGAATGTGGAGTGCTGAGCATTTTCTTTCAATAGCAGTCATGGTTAAGAACCTAGATCCATATTGGATTTGCAATTCAACTGGAAAACATTCATGTATTTATCTGAAAATCATATTGCTGGATTAAATGCTATCTCTTTCTCTCTCTCTCTCTCTCTCTCTCTCTCTCTCGCTTTTAAGGCATTAAGTAAGCCAGGCTATTTTCCTACTTTGGGAAGAATCCAGAGAATTATTACCAGTAGAGTCTAGAGTAGAGTCTCCTGTTTGCGGCATCGCCCGGTTTGCGGCCAGGGGTATTTGTTTTAAAAATAAAATGAATATCACTCGATAATAATCATTGAAACCTACCGTGGATTCCACGGTAAGTTCTGCTTTGCCGAAAACGTCCGTAGCAGGTGCTCCTGTCGGTACGGAGTATCCGTCAGCGATGTCGGAAATCTACGGCACCAGTCGCCGATGAAAATTCCAGCAGGTGCTAACTTTTAAGTTAAGAGATCGAGGCATGACTAGATCAATATTGTAGCTCTATTTGTCCGATATTTGTCCGATTGGAGGTGAAATTTGATGTTTTTGTGGAAGTATGATGGCTGTGGTCTGTCTCCTATCGCAGATATTTTGATTGTGCCACCGCATGGCCAGTTGCATGGGGTGGCCGCAAACCGGCACGTAATTACGTTTTTTTTCTGGTTTGCGGCGGGGGGTGTTAATACACACATAACATGCGGGATCGTGTATGATGGTGTGTGCTGATGTGTGTACCCGCTATGACCCGATAGTTTCTAGTAGTACGTACCCCCGTATGGGATGATCCATTCGAGGAAAAGGTGAAATTGTTTAAAACTAGGGTGTCTGAACGATTTTTCAATTTTCAATTTGGGATCGTTTTTCACCATTTTTGTTTGATATTTGAATAAAAAATGTTATCAGAATAATACATTTCAAATTTCAAGTCTCACCGATGTTTCTATCAAAAGTTACAGCCCCTCCAACACGCTGGTATATTCATATCATTTTGGTCAAAATCGACGAAAAAGACGTCCACGCAGAGTGATGTTGTTTTGCTAAATTTAGCCAAACAGCTGTATCGCGCGATATGCAAGCGTATGCATATCGTACGCATGCTGCTAAGCCAATCCGCGACTTGCAGCTTGAGCTACGCTGTCTCCGCGACATGTGCGATTGACTAGTATGGTTGGCGTTCGTCGCACAATAAACCCGGAAGTGAATGCACGTTATAGTCAATGGCAATATCGCGGAGACAGTCCGCGATATTGCCATTGACTATAACGTGTATTCACTTCCGGGTTTATCGAGGGAATTGCCAACCATAATTTCAGTCACTATAATTTGGGGTTTCGTTCGTGCGCGGAGATGTTACGCGATGTAACCATGGTTTGGACTGAGCGGAGCGCACGCCTCCTAATTAGCTGATCCACCAAATAGCGAGAAGGGTATTTTTAAACTGTTATCAGTTGTGATCCCTGGGGGCTAGCGAAAATATAATCACATAGAATTGTTCCTTAGGACTGGGACTACTTATCGATCGGGGCGTCATATCTCAAAAGTGACAAACCTCAGAGTTAGCCAGGACACAATGTTTAAATTGCTGTTTTGACCAAGATATTTTTAGAATTTCGGGGGCTACGCCCCTTTGGAAATATTGGAATTCACCTGCTCTTTCATATGACACCTCATTCATTGATTATCACCTTCAGGATCACAACTGATAAAGGTTTGAATCTCGATTTGAAAAAAAAAAATTGACTTTTTTTGCATGGTCGCGCAATGCACGTAGGCTGCATAGGGATGCGTGTAATCTCTATGGGAAGAATTTTAGCACACAACATCGGGTGCGCGATCAGACACCCTATTAAAACTTGACAAATTTACCGTAGCAACAGATAAACATGAGAATTTGGGTTACCCGTAGTAATTTGGTACATGCTTTCATTGTGACGTAGCGCATATTAGCTTTGTGACGTACGCGTGCCGCAAACCGGTAATGCGTGCCCGCAAACCGGGGAACTCGAAGCATTTCAAAACGTGGTCAATGCTGACCACGCTGTGGGTCAGTTAGGTTATTTGTAACTTCTATCTAATAAGTATATGGACTCTTTATTGAGGGTATTGAAGTATTCTGTGAGTATTCCAATAAAAAAAGAATCGGCAGTTCCCGCCGATCGGCCGCAGACCGGAGCCACTACTCTAGACCTAATTAACCAAAATTGATTAAGAAAACTAAAATTTGCCAATCGTTTTGTACTTTTTAGCTTTCATGGAAATCTCATCTGCATAGTCGAGGAAAAGAATTGAGATTCCCTGGGCTGAGCCATTGCATTGCCATTGGCATCAGGCCAGGGCCAAGGCATGGACCGCGCGTTGCCGCTGCACTGCACATAAAGAACCGCAGCGAGCAGCTACGCAAGCGCCTTAGCTTCGGCCTGGCTTGAGTGACACAAAGACCAAATCCAAAGTGGCTCGTTTCACGATAATGCCAAGATTAGTACCATTTGTTTAGTTAGCGCTAAATCGAGTACGGTTATGAGGTCAATACAGTTTACGGTTAGACCTCATGTGCATTGTAATACTGTAGGAGTGATAGAATCTAAACCCTTTTTTTTATCGATGGGGACAATGTTTAGACAATGCATATGTATGCATGGTCCCATAAATTATATTTCTTGTTGTCTTTTTACGGTAATTTCTTACTTTTTTTCTTATATCTTACCTGTCTTTTTGGCATGGCTGCAGTGTAATGAATATTTCTGATCCCGAGAAATTCACAAGGAGCAAATAAACTCGTCTTATTAACGATTTTGTGAAAGAGATGGAAATAAGTCGCTTTAATTCGCAGCATCCACATGAATTCGCTCCTTGAAACTGGCTGACCAATAAGCACGCGACCGATCGAGGGCTTGTAATTCTAGTGTCTTCAAAACGTCCAAACGAAAAGGAAAATGTTGCACATATCGGTTGACGGAAACTGCAACTGCATGGGGTATAAGAATTAGATATGAATATGCGGGCGAGGGCCACGTACGGAAGCGTTTAACTTCCATTCTACTTGACGACATGACGAGATATTTCATCTTGTCAAGTCGACTTAATATCCATATCATGTCGACATGTAAAGATATTTAACCTAGGCCTACCATGTCGACTTAATTATCAACTTTTATTAGTCGACATGGCGAAATAAATTATCTTGCCAAGTCGACTTCACAAAAAGTTCATGTCGTCATGGCGACTTAAGTTATCTTACCAAGTCGACTTCTAAAAACATACATGTCGTCATGGCGACATATATTATCTTGCCAAGTCAACTACTAACCAAAAAGTAATGTCGACATGGCGAAATAAATTATCTTGCCAAGTCGACTTCACAAAAAGTTCATGTCGTCATGGCAACGTATGTCTTATCTTGCCAAGTCGACTTCACAAACATGGCGAAATAAATTATCTTGCCAAGTCGACTTCACAAAAAGTTCATGTCGTCATGGCGACATGTCTTATCTTGCCAAGTCCACTTCACAAAAAAGTTACCTCCCAAAACGCTGGCCCCCCCCCCCCAAAAAAAAAAGAGAGAGAAAGAGAAGAAAAAAAGTAAGAGGACGTAGGAAGAAAAAGGGAAAAGGAGTCGAGAACGGTACAACGAATCGTCTTCTTTTTCTAATAATTTAATGAAACTTCAAAGCTTCCGCGCTTCGCGAGGAAAGGGAGAAATTGAGTTCAAATTAAGGTTAAACAGTCGAGAACGGAACAACGAATCGTCTTCTTTCTCTAATAATTTAATGAAACACGCTTCGAAAGAGGGGGACGTACTGAATACAGATATACGGATTAAGGGTCGGGAAAGGTACAACGAATCGTCTAATAATTATTGTCTAAATTGTCTAATAATACGTAGAATCTTCCGCACTTCGCGCAGGAGGAGGGGGGGGGGGGACTGAATTCAGACAAGGATTAAGAGTCGAGAACGGTACTTCGTGTCGCCTTCTTTCTCTAATACTTTAATGGAACTTCAAAGGAGGGGATGAAACAGAATTCGGATAGGATTAAGACGGTCGAGGACGGTACATCGAATCGTCTTCTAATTTCTCTAATAAATTAATGAAACGTCAAATCTTCTGCTCTTCGCGCGGGAGGGGACTGAATACAAAAAAGGATTAAGGGTCGAGAAAGGTACAACGAATCGTCTTCTTTGTCTAATAATACGTCAAAGCTTCCGCGCTATGCGCAGGAGGGGCGGACTGAATTCAGACAAGGATTATGAGTCGAGAACGGTACATCGAATCGTCTTAATTCTTTCTCTAATAAATTAATGAAACGTCAAATCTTCTGCGCTTCGCGCGGGAGGGAACTGAATACAAATATGGACTAAGGGTCGAGAAAGGTACAACGAATCGTCTTCTTTGTCTAATAATACGTCAAAGCTTCCGCGCTATGCGCAGGAGGGGCGGACTGAATTCAGACAAGGATTATAAGTCGAGAAAGGTACAACGAATCGTCTAATTCTTTCAAAGCTTGCGCGCTTCGCGCGGGAGGGGGGGGGGGGACTCCCCCCTCCCTGGCCCTGCACCCACCCCCTAGGGAGCGCGCTACGCGCGCTCGATTCGCACGCTTTAATTGCGTGCTCACTACCGCCCCCTAAAATGAAATCCTGGCTACGCGCTTGTCAAGGTATGCCGCGTGCGCATAAAATATACAGTTCCTCAGGTAGACAAAGGAACATCCCTTCCCTGCTACGTAAAAATGTGTAGAACAGGTGTCACATGCATATTCACCTGTTCTACACATTTTACATATTAATAGCAGTGAAGGGATGTTCTTTTGTTGAGGGTATAGAATGAGGAACTGTATATTTTGTCCTCTTTCTTCGTCGGATGTTCATAGTGTTACTTCCTGCATGCATGTATATTGTCGAGTGCAATCTAAAAGATTTCTAATTGTAGTCAACATGGGCAGTTAAGTACATTGGCACGCATGAACAGTCGGCGTACGTCGTGTACTCGTCCACTGAATCTAAAAGTCCCTAATATGGCTTCCGACAGACGTAGCAGCCTGGATGAGGATATTTTACCTCGCCATGACAACATGTACTTCTTACGAAGTCGACTTGGCAAGATATTTTTATTTCGCCATGACGACATATACTTTTTGGGAAGTCGACTTGGTAAGATAATTCATGTCATCATGACGACATATTTTCTGAGAAGTCGACTTGGTAAGATAATTCATGTCATCATGACGACATACTTTCTGAGAAGTCGACTTGTCAAGATAATTTATTTCGCCATGACGACAGATACTTTTTGGGAAGTCGACTTAATTGGTAAGATAATTTATGTCGCCATGACGACGCTTTATGCGAAGTCAACTTGGCAAGATAACTTATGTCGCCATGACGACATGAACTTTTTGTGAAGTCGACTTGGCAACATAACTTATTTCGCCATGTCGACTAATAAAAGTTGATAAGTCGACATGGAAAGTTAAATATTTTTACACGTCGACATGATATGAATATTAAGTCAACTTGTCAAGATGGAATATCTCGTCATGTCGTCAAATAGAATGGCACTTTAACGCTTCCGTAGACACGTTATGTTATTTCCTCATATTGAAATACAAAAATATATATTTTGGCGTTATGAAGTTGACGTCATTCCAAAATATATTTGTAATATGAATAAACATCATTCGCGGCGCTTAAGTCAACTTGACGAGATGGAATATCTCGTCATGTCGTCAAGTAGAATGGCACTTTAACGCTTCCGTAGACACGTTATGTTATTTCATCATATTGAAATACAAAAATATATATTTTGGCGTTATGAAGTAATTGACGTCATTCCAAAATATATTTGTAATATGAATAAACATCATTCGCGGCGCTTAAGTCAACTTGACGAGATGGAATATCTCGTCATGTCGTCAAGTAGAATGGCACTTTAACGCTTCCGTAGACACGTTATGTTATTTCATCATATTGAAATACAAAAATATACATTTTGGCGTTATGAAGTTGACGTCATTCCAAAATATATTTGTAATATGAATAAACTTCATTCGCGGCACCCCTGTTTAAAAACGCTGAAAAATTAAATCCCAAAACAAATCACTTTCCAAGTTCCCAAAATTGCTTAATTACTAGCCGCTTTACAGGTTTGATCCTCTGTTTATAATCATGTTGATATTGTACAATGGAAATAAATATTCTCACTTAAAGGGAAAGTCCACCCCCAAAATAAGTTTGTTTCGATAGAGGCAGAATAATAAGAAAATCAGGTGAGTGAAAGTTTGAGCAAATTCTGAATGAAAATAAGAAAGTTATGAATTATTGAAGTTGTGATCAATCAAATACAAATTGGCAACTCTGTGACTTAATATACGAGCTCTCCTTCATTTGCTTTGTGCATAATATTCCATAAAATCATGTTTTCTTCGTTATTGATGACGGAATATATATTTGTTCCTTGCAGTGGGAGTATAGAAACATATTTGCAATTATTATATTTAGGGTGCATGTATGGTTAAAATTTTTCTTGAGGGAAAATGAAAATTTTAGATTTTTTTAGTACTGAGCAAATGGAAGTTGAGCTCGCATGATACGTCATAGAGTTGCCAATTTGTGTTTGATTGATCACAACTTCAAAAATCCTAACTTCCTTATTTTTAATCGGAATTTGCTCAAACTTTCACTGACTTGTTTCTCTCATTTTTCTAACTTAATTTCAGGGTGGACTTCCCCTTTAAGTTGTAAAGGGATCAGTCTGTAAAGGTACGAGTCGCTATAAGTCCTTGACAAATTTGGAGTTGGTTTATGCTGCATGAATTATATTCTTTGTTTACGAACTAACGGTTGAGAAATCGAGAGCAGTTTGGCTTATTTATGCTTTCAAAATTGATAATTGTTAAAGCAATAATGACGATGACGATACAATAGAGAATGCTATAACCCCCCCCCCCCCCACCATCACTTGTGAATCTCATTGTTACACATGTCATGTCTCATCAAATAAAATATTTTATTTAAGACAATACTGATTATGTTTCCTCCCGTTGTCAGATTCACACGTACGCACGTTCCTTTAAGATTCTTTATACCATTTTCGAGCAATACACGGGGGCTCGCCCAAAAGAGCCCCGGTAATTAAGTCATAAAAGAGCCCCAAAATTGTATATAGAGTTCAATGCAAAACAAATAAAAGAGTGTTATTTTCATGCAAGCAAGCTAGAAAAGTAGCCCCGAAATTTTTATAGTAATTTTTTTCCCTGGAGCAATCTAGTCTCTTTAATTTCACTATCTCACTCTCATATTCTCGTTCTTTTTCCTCATCTCTCCTCTTCGCTCGCCCCTCTTTTTCTTTCCTATTTGTTTGCCATTCGATTGGGCTGGGGATGGGCACATGCCCAGGTCCGGACAGAGAATTAGGGGAGCCCATGTCCTGGGACCCGTTTCACAAGCCTTTTTTCAATGACAAAAGATAAAAATCAATGACAAATCTGCTGATAACCAATCAGAAGCAAGGATTTCAGTAGCTTATAACAAAAACTGTCATTTGTCATTGGATGACAAGTTTTGTGAAACGCCCCCTTGGTCTCCTGTTAGTGTTGGGCCAGACATATTAAAGTGGAAGTCCACCCTGATATGAAGTTGATTTTAATAAAAAGCAGAAAAATGAGAGGAGCAAATTTGTGAAAGTTTGAGCAATATCCAATAGGAAAATTATGAATTTTTGAAGTTGTTATCAATGAAACACAAATTGGCAACACTATGACAAATCTTGCAAGGTCCTCTCCAATCGATTTACTTTGTATAGAAAATTTAATTGTATTTTCTTAGTTATCGATGTCGAAATAGATTTTGTTTCGTACAGGGGTTGTATAAAAACATGCTTGCAACATTTGTATAATGATGAATGTATAATTGAGAATTTTCTGCTGGGGACCTAAACATTTTTGTTTAGTACAGGGCAAATATGGAGAGGAGCTCACATGCACGTCACAGAGTTGCCAATTTGTTTTTGATTGATCGCACCTTTAACAACTCATAACTTTCTTATTTGTTATCTGTTTTTGCTCAAACTTTCAGTGACCCGTTTTTCTCATTTTCTGCTTCTATATATTATAACCAACTTAATATTAGGGTAGACTTCCCCTTTAACAAGCACCTTCCATTTTAAAAACACAAAAACCAATCAAAACTAGATGAATGTGACTGCACCTCTAATGTGCTCATCTTCAATCAATTATCAAATACCTTTTGCCACAACACATGCATTGCATCCCTTCCACTCTTGACTCTTAATTATGACCTTTTGACCTCTTAATTATGAACTTTTGACCTCTTCATCATAATATCTACCAAGTTGATATTTCATTTCAGATGGGTTAACATTTTAGTAGAATACAGACCCATGAGATGGGGCTGCACAAAAGTACCTCAATATAATGGGAAGTTGTTATCACATTTTTCTTTACAATGGAAGTCTCACAATACTGGTACTCATCGATGGCTATTGATTCTTATAATATTTCTCAAAAGTCAAGACATTACAGCACTCTGATCCTATACTTAAAGGTAAAGACCAGTATTGGAAATGCCCCAATTTCAAAAAATGAAATGGAAGCTCTCATTACCAATCATGTGAAAGAATATGTTTCGACTAATACATGATGATAAAAAAATTGCCGGGAAACTGCCTACTAATTCATATATTTGTTTCTCTCATGGTCTGTGAGAGATATAGGGTAGTCCCATATACATCTTTCTGTGTATAGTGCTTCTAACTTTACGAAGAATGGGCCAAATTTCTTATCATTTTGATGATTCCAGAACCTTGCAGATGCTAGATGCTAGATGATCAACCTTTTCTGATCGATTCCACAACGTTTCTTTCACAATGCAATCGCATGACCATAACTGGTCTGTACCTTTAATTCTCTCCTCCTTTTTTTGTCTCTCTTCCATGTTTTTTTTCTTTCCTATCAACGTTCTGTTATATAAAATGTAATTTTCATAATAATATCTATAATGTTCTCTTGGTAACTTTGTTAACTTATTTTGGGCGTTCCCAACTCAAGCTATGCTTTCTGGGTTTTCGCCTCCTTCCGTATCTGAATTATTTACTGTATTCTCCATGTTGAAATAATTGTTACATATCATATTACATATATACATGTGTTTCATATTGTACTGTTGAGAAGGAAATAAATGTTAAGAAATACCAACAAAAATACAAATATACATATCGAATTAGATATTATTTTATTATTTTGTTCATTCTTGCCACTGCATACATGTATACTTTGAAAAATGTCACAATATGAATATATATCTTGTACCATTGATTAACAGAATAAAAGTGCACCAAGCACCTGAAAATGCAAATTGTGTATACCGATAGCTAAAAAGTATCAAATTAACCTTAAAAAAACTTTACCTGGCGTTCTATAGGTAAACGGATAAGGAGTATGAAGAAATAAGGGTAACTTGAAAACCCGTGCATTAATTGGGATCGCACAGATTCCCTATTCTATGCTAGTGAGTACACATGCATTAATAGTCTACTCAACTTGACGTTTTAAATACTGTTCAGTGTTCACTGAGAATATATTTAAATTGATATCTCTTGATAAAATAATATTTGAAGCTCATGTTTTCAATACAGTATAGCAACATGGAAGGAACCATAATACATCAAGAGAAAAACATGTTTTGGCGATTGGTACTTGGTACACTTTAATGCTGCTAGTCCCTTGTAACCCTCAAAGAGACGATACCGGTATGTAAGACAGGGGGTAGATCCAACATTATCTGGCAGAAGGGGGGGGGGGGGGGTGGTTCAACTTTTAAAAATCTATAAAATACCTGAAAAGTAAGAAAGTGAGCAAGTTAATAAAAAAGAACTTGGGGGAGGCATCTACAACAAATTTGGAAGCCCATTTTTCTTTTTGAGTGGATGCGTAACAATTGATAACCTTTGACCTCGGGCTACAAGTATTAATCACAGAAGCGTAGGTTGGGACAGACGGGCAACTCCCCAAAACCACTGCCTATGTTAGCACAGGGCAGAGGCAGTGAAATTAAATATATCGTTAATTTGATCTGTTTGGAGATTTTCTTTACTTTCTACAGAGGACATCTGTGTTTATACAAAAGCAAATCATTATCCAGCTGGAGCAGCTGTAGAGTCTTCCAGAGCTCCATCCTATCCTTCAAATCTTAGCCAAACCTGGGCCCTCATGTTTTTGGGCAGATCGATGTACAGGTATTTCACATACTATATCTTCCATCCTCTGCCAAAATACTTGTTTTTATTACAAAAATATATATACAATCGGAGAAGCGGGACTCTGCAACAGGCGGTCCACAACGTTCAGTCGCATTACGAGAATAATGAGTTGCCAGCTTATTTCATTCATGGTGATCACTCTCAAGGTGACCCAGTTCAGCTTTGTACACCATCTCCATTATTTGAAATCGCAGCTGCGACTGGAGGACGGGGGTCAGTTTCCGCACCGTCGCACTGATGGTCTTAAAGAACGAGTCCAGTTCGTCTTCTTGAGGGACAGAGCCCTGCATTGCGAAATATCCCATCGTTGGATCGCCATTGTGATCTTGAGTTCTCCGCCTCCTGTCGGCCATCTGAGGGTGACAGTGTGACACCGACGGAATGCGGCAGTCGTCGACTTCCTCTCCGTCCTCCCTCTCGTCGTCGTTTTGGGCGAGGTGTTGGCCTTCGTTCTCCACCATCACAGACACCGCAGACCTTTATGAGATGAGAAGAAAGCAATCAATCAATCATTTATCTCAGATGCAGAGTGTAGATTTGTTTGTTGTTGAGTACTAAGGGTATAATTGGGTTTCAAAAGGAGGCAAAGGCCAGTTTTGCCCCCTAAATCCAGCACTCAAATAAGTGGCAAAGGCAATAGTGGGGGGAGGGGGGAGTGGGAGCAGGAGGAGCACATTACCCTGGAGGTTTTTGTAACCTCATAGGTATGCCAATCAAGGTTAAAAAAGGGGCAAGGACCAGTTCTGCACCCCCCCCCCCCACCTCCATTTTGGCAGGCTGTTACATATAATATACCGGTAGTAATATTCTATTTTATTTTTTTGCTTTTAAGCTAGTATTGTCGAACATGTTGAATAATTATACTGAGTTAGACAATACCACCTGTGCGCTTAGAAATGCCCGTATTAAGCGCCCTATAAATGTAATTATTATTATTATTATTATCAAGGAGGAGATGGGAGGGGAGAAACACAATTTTTGCCCCTAGCTGGCATAAGGATGATTGCTGTGCTGGGTCACAAACATTACTTCTTTTACTGATAAACAAGATGAAAAGAAAGGTACATAAAGTACGTAACACAGTCCTCTTTATGAAACCGCAATATTTAAAGACTACCGGTAATGGCATCTGTTCACTTGCTTGCAGTGAAGGTGGCGATTTGCCAAGGAGTGTCTTCGAGCATACTGCACTTCACATCCATTTACTTTAATATTTTTTTCAAGTTTTTGTGTAAAAGGGCATTTTCTGATGGTGTATAACACTTTAAAGACCATGTGACCTTCGACCTTTAAAGTAAAGTCTAATCAGTCCATAGGATGGACAGACAACCAGGGGAGTGTTTCACAAAGACTAAGATCGACTTTAAGTTGGACTTAACTATGGCAGGCCATTCATGCCACTAGTTCCTCTAACCATTCCTGGCATTGGTTTCTCAAGGGACGTACAAAACATGGTCACAAATCTACAGAATGTACCTTTTTTCATTATTGAAGGAAAAAATATTATCTAAAGAACATAAATTGAGAGACCAATGGTGATAGCAACCAGTGGCATGAATGGCCTGTCATAGTTAAGTCCAACTTAAAGTCGATCTTAGTCTTTGTGAAACACTACCCTGGAAGCACAATACCTCAGGCACCATCTTTGGTGGTGGTGGCAAAACAAGCCTGCCCTAACTGTTTAAAAGCCCTTTCCTTATGCTTTAATATGTCATGTCAAACCTTTTTTTTCCTAGAGATGTTGTGGTCTAGTGAATAAAACACTGACTGTAAATCACAAGGCAGAGTTTGACAGCACTAACGCCCTTTGACAAGACACTAATCTACATTTGCCTCACTCCACCCAGGTGGGGGTAAATGGGTACCTGGTAAAATCCTTCTTTGAAATGTACTGTGCTCTGATAACATTTGCCAAAGTCTAAAGCCGGGGTACAATTTCCAAGGCTCTTTGGAAGTGTATGGATACATAAATATCTAAAAATGTATGTGAAATGTTTCAAAGTCCAGTGACTGAGCAACTCAAGAGGTCATATTATCATTTTAAGCAAAGTGTTGCACAAACTTACAATAAGTCATCAGTTTCTTCCTGCTCAGATCTTCTCCTCTTAATGGACATCTGAAGATGATGGTCGCCCTCATCTTTATTTAAAGGTGGCCTGTACGAGAAACCAAATTAAAAATAATTAAAAAGTTTATAAAGAGGGTTCTTAGTCAACCCCAAAAAATAAATCATTAAATCTTATTCTCTGACAGCATGCGGTGTGACCATGTAATTTATTTCAATTACACCACAGTTTGTGAAAAGTAAACCGATTACAGTGCAATGTTATTTCAGTATCATATAGTTTGGATTTAATACATAGACGATTGAAGAATGGGGCAGCCCTTGTAGAATGTTTGGGTATTAAAGGAAAATAACATCTTTTTCCTCGTAGTTAAAATACAAGATACTGCAAAAACATAAAGGCCCTAAATTCAAAAAGGAGGTTTGTCGACAAACCTAGCTGTATGTGCGTTAGTTTGAAACGCGTCATATGACGCACATAAATCTATGTTTGTCGACAAACCTCCTTAGTGAATTCAGGCCAAACAGTTCACAATTTTCTTTTGGGGGTCAGATTTAATTCAAAATTTCATCAGTCGCTATCTCTGTCTTCTCTGATATTTCTGATTGTTTTTAAAGAGTACCGGTACTTGTCTGTTAAGGTTGGCTTTCCCTTCCATGATATTGTTAATTAAAATTTCATCCACCAAGTATGTCCATTGCCCCCACCCCAAAGATGCTGGTGACCCCTCTGTTGTCTGGACACACTCAACAGTGTTGGTCAAACAGTTTTTGAGCGTCACCAGGCTGGAATGCTCCCCAGGTAGTGGAGATTGTGCACACAGTGTGTGGGGCACGTATTGAATCCAATGACCGCGGGGGTAATAGTATATCTGTAAAGCGATTAGAGACATTTGTATTAAGCGTAATATCGTCCTTGTTTTCACGAAGTGACGGTAGTGAGGAAAATCGTAACGCAAAGTGAATGCAATTTTTTTTCACTACCGTCACTTCGTGAAAACGGCGACGATATTATTATATTATTAGCACTAAGTATGTCCACCACAACAATTTTTCTGTTTTTAGTGACAGAATAATAACCTACTTGGATATATTGATGTGAGGAAGCAAAAACTTCAGGTAGTTTGCAAACCGGTGTGATTTCAGGGGCCTCCCACCATTTCCATGTGATTTCCTCAAGCGCTTCAAGAAGGAATCTCGAATATGACGATATCTTTGCTTTGCGGCAATATCTGCAATCATAACGATTATTAAAAGAACAGGTTAGAAGAATAATTAAAAACACATCATACATTTTTTGTTAAAACTATGATAATCATCAAGCTTGAAAATATTCAATAAAATGTTTTTTAGAGGATCTTTAATATGATGGATTTATGCATAGTTTACTTCTATTATTAATAATTTACAAATGTTCAGCAGTGCCTAAAATAAGAATTTCCGTGAAGGCAAAATGTTGTTCTTCCTATACTTGAGAGAACGTTTTCTGTTTAAAATCATTTTTCTAATCAAAAATTTATAATTTTGATATAACAATCAATTCAATATAATTATGGTGTGAAATAAAACAAAATCTGAAAAACATGGTATTATAAAAGAAGTAACAATAGTACTACTAGCTGAAATGAGAAAAAAGAAGAAAAAAGAAGGGAAAAAAAAGAGAATTTATAACAATAAAATAAACACCTGAAACCTGGCATCACTGAGTGATAGTGTTGCAAATAATGTAATAAAAAAGAACTTCATTCTGTCATTGCTACTTGCAGAATAAATCAGCCGGAAGATGGCACTTGTACAAAATAACCTCCAAATATCCACAGATTGATCGTTTAGACGTGGAAAATTCGCACTTTGTGCATTTTGGAATAATGATTACCTAACTTTCAAGATGAACACATATCCAGCTTTCTCTTCGATGAGTTTTACAGTGAAAATGACCTTTATTTATCCATACACAGATAGTATATCTCCAATGTGGCTTATTAAACTTTAATAACTGACTTTTTTAAGACACAGCAATTTACATTGTAATTATCTGCATTACATTTTCTATCATTTTTTTGTTGAATTTTGATCCATTGATGCATTTGTTTTGTAAAGCGCTTTGATCAGTTGTAAATTGGATATAGTGCTATAAAAAAAACAATTTATTTTTATTATTACCTGTTATTCCTACCGTATCAGCAATTTCTTTCCAAATGTCCTTTCTCAAGTCATTATTAGTGAAGTGCTCTTCGTTTCTGTCATAGAGACATGGATGTTTCTCCACCTCTGCGATCAGCTTTATATCCGATGACCATGAGTGATGCTTGAATTATAGAAAAAAAAAAGACATTTCCTTAAAATTAAAAAATTTCAGTAAAAATGTACCGGTAGGTCTACTTATAGATTAAAAGAGGCAAACAAATGAGAGCTCTGTACTCAGGGAATAATTTTCCTGGTATCGCATCGCAATTTGCTATGCATTTTTGCATGACTGCTATACAAAATATTGTTTGTGTAGCAGTTTTCTTCCATAGGAATGTACAGAATTTCATTTGAAATATTTTTCCATCAGCTGAAATTGCTAATCAAAATATTTGAGGAAAATTATTCCCTGGTACTATAAAAAAAATAATCAGAAATTCCTATCTATTTTCCCTCAAGAAAATTTGCAATCTTACATATTACATGATGATGATCATTCACACTTCATAGTCAAAGCCTAGCCCTAGCCTCGCGCTAGGCTATATTTACCATTTACTATATCTGGGCCACTATATATTTATTGGAAATAATTTTCTATACAAAGATTACAATTCATGTAGACATCTAAAAGGCTGTACTTTGTCTAGATCTACATGTATAGAAAAAGTAAAAAATTGATATTTCATCAATTACTAAGAAAATCAAAGTTTATGACATTTTTTTTTTATAATGTACAGAGCAAATTGGAGAGGACCTCTCTAGATACGTCATAGTTTTGCAAATTTGTGTTACATTTGCGGATTGATTGCAACTTCAAAATCTAAATTAACCTTGTTTTATTCAGTTAATCATACTTTTCTCAAACTTTTATTGACCTGTTCCTCCAATTTTCTGTTTCTATTTTAACTGGGCTATTTCAGACCAGGTTTTTACTAGGGGGGGGGGTGTCAATTTGGGCCCCCTAAGATCTTGGCCGTTTCACAGCCGATCGTCGAGAGAATTTGCATGCATGTCAAGTGAAGTGTGTAGGCCTATAATACTATGGTAATTTCAATTTTTTGAAAATTCAATTCATCATTTGCATATTCATGGTAATTTATGCAAATAGGTCATGAATTCACATTTTTACCCATAAATCATATACCGGTACTATTCGTATTTAAGCATTCTTTTTCACTACATTTCGTTAGACCATTTGGAATAATAATATGACAACAAAATTGGAAGAGCCAGGATATTCTTAATGTTATCTCTTGTTTCAATAATTTCTTATGTATTTTATTGGTTTTTTAACTTACGGTAGGCCTATATATTATTTATATATTTTTTTTTATATCTCATTTCTAACTGCAATCCAATTTTGATCGCAAACAAACACCTAAACTTGATCGAAACAAGACCAAATAATCAATGTTTTATCCCTTGTTATTAAAAATGATATTTCCAAATGTTTTGTACACAAATCACAAAAATTAGCGATTTTCAGGCTGACATAAAACCGGGTCACATGACTTTGTGTCAGATTTTCGAAAAATTGTTTTAAAATGCGTAAGACTCGAAAGAAAAAAGTCATGAAAAGAAAAATGTATATCTGCCGCGGTTCTGGAGTAGTCGCTAAATTACAGGGGGAGGGGGTCAAATTGACCCCCCCCCCCTCCCCCAGGGTTAAGCATCTGCTATATGAGTAATTGACCTAGCTCTAGCACACACACCCCACTATATTGCATAGACTGCACACAATAGAACCAGCAAATTTGACATCAGTAAGGGTCTAGATTTTACAAATTGAATTTTTAAATTATTCTTTTTAACATCAGTAATTTGACAAGATTATATTTCACTGTTATTAAGGTGTCATCAATTATCACTAAAGTACAGAGTTTGCATGAAATCAGTTTTGTACAGGGTGTTTGAAATGTTGAGAATCAGTTCAGAAGTCTATCCAAATTTGACCCGTAACTCCAGCGTGGAGATACCCACTAAAACATACCAAAAATGAAGTAAATATTCATCAAATGTCCAAATAAAGTTCATGATTCAAAAGTTGATATGTTTGTTACTTGTTTCGTGTCATTTTTCTCATCTTTTTCGAAGTATTTTTCCTAAAAACGAAGACTTTTATAATATATGCACTTTCTCACGGGAAAACTGCAGCACGATACAATTGCATACCCGACGGTGGGGTGCGGGCGCGCGCGTGTGTTAAATTGGCGACTGTAAGCTAGTTTACGGTCGCTAACTGAATTACACAGTACGCGTGCCCGCACCTCACCGTCGGTAGGGTATGCAACGTTTGGATAGACTTCTGAACTAGCACCAATAAAATGGCTTTCAATACACAGCCAAGACAGTAATGCACCGGCTATGTGTGCTAAGACAGACGTAGCCTAGAATCGAATCTAGACCTATATTGTTGTTGTCATGTTAGACCTTCATTCTTTCTTACCATTCGCATAGCCATAGCTGCAGTTTTCTGAATAGCTCTGATGAAAAAAGGAATTGATCCGTAGGATTAGGAAACAGTACAGAGGAAGGTCTCACTTGGCGCTGTACAGTATGCGGCGTTGCGGCGCGCGCGGTGTGGTGCGTTCAACTAAAGAAACGTCTTTGGTCCTCAGCTATTAACATAAGAAAAAGAGGATCATGGGGACCAACACAGTGGCGGATCCAGGGGGGGGGGGGGGGCCGAAACGGCCGCGGCCCCCCCTATTGGCGGCGCAAAAAAAAAAAGGAAAAAAAAAAAAAGAAAAAAAAGAAAGGAGAAGAGAAGAAAAAAGGAGATCGAGAAAAGAAAGGAGAAGAGAAAAGAAAGGAGAAGAGAAAAGAAAAGCGAACTCGGAGAAAAGAAAGAAGAGAGAGAGAGAGAGAAAGAAAAAGAAGAAGATCCCCCCCCCCACCTCACTCCCACTCCGGGGTCGGAGGGACCGATTTTGTGTTCCCAAAATTTCCGATAATTAAAGGGTTACTTTTCACGAAACAAAGTCCGGCCCGTAATACACACAAATCCGGCCCGCACTGACTTTACACACTGAAGATAAAGGGGTGCTTTCAAACTATAAGAGAGGGAACATACATGCGCGTACCCTAGATAACACTGAGTGGGTTGGGGGGGGGGGGGGGGGGGGGGGGGGGGGG